ATCACAAGGTCTCTGAAGACATTGATTCGAGCACCTTGTAATTGCATCTCAGATTGTTAACAGATTTTTAATGCAATTCCATAACCCTGTCAAAATAAAACATTAATTATTGACTCCATTTTTTATATGTTGAACTAATTCAAAATATTTATACTTTTAGAGCTGTTTATTCTCTTCCTTGGTTATATTTTCATTAATGATCTCTTGATTTTTTATTTTGTTTCACACAAAAAACATGACATATTTTTTAACTTTGTAAGAGACAGAGATGAATTCTTTCAATGATCTGCTCTCACTTCGACCCTCAATTATGGCCTTAACACATTCATAATGATGAAATATGATATCGGGCACAAAAGGCTTAATAAAACAAAGTCAGTCCATAATTAGTGAATACAAATTATTATATTTCTTTATATTCTATTTAAAGTGATCTCATTTATGCACTGAATTATTCATAATGAAGTGCTTTACTTGGATCTGTAATGAGGAAAAATGAGTGCGGATTTCCATTTTAAGCTTGCCCTGCAAACTTGTCGACTAATGATTGTTTTCAACAGCGAGAGAAGAATGAATGAATGTAACAATGTATTGTTTCAAGACCCTCGAGTTGGTATCTCAGTTACACTTTAATCTCACCTTCTAAGATCATATTTATGTTTTCTCGAAAAACTGATTTCCCTATGGCAGTATTTTCTGATTTTTAATATCATTTGTGTAGAGTTTACACACAATTTATGTAATGACTGGGATTAGCTATATGTCACTAAATAGGGGCTGAGGCATCCTCTAATTGGGATTAATTTCAATCTTTAATGAATTAATTACAAGCAATATGTATCAATGAACATGGGGAATGATGAATGCTGCTTACATGGATTCTGCTAAATACAGCACTTAAGGATCATATTTGCCATCAATTATAGTTAGTCAAGGATTAAAATTTATACCTAACATTTTCCTGGAATTTTTTTTCAGATTGCATTAATCTATATTTGTGCAAAATACCTATCCAAAAAACTTTTGAAAACTACTTGAAGTATTTTGATTTAAATTTTGATTTCAAATACTTGTATATAATGTGTATAATGAATTGAAAGGATAAAACTAAATAAAATAAAAACTTTGAATATGGTTGTTAAATGATATATCAGTGTCTTTATATTCACCCCATATTGGCAAATCAATTATAATTTCCAAAGTTCTTTGTTATTTCACCACCAGAAGTGGTAACATCATCAGTATTGATTTGATGTAGTCTCTAACTTTTTTGTGGACAGTGTTCAGCAATGTTGGTGTTTAGTATTTGGCAGTTGGTGGTCAGTATCTGTAACAAACGGCAAGTGGTGACATTTTGCATGTGAATGCCTTGCTTTATAGTTAGTTTCACCCTGTTGTTGCCAAATAAACCAACATTCTATAAAATTACCAAAAGGTTAGTACAGGCAAGAAGGATTTTTTAGTCTTATAACTCCAGTACTGGCAATATTTTACATACTTTTTTTTGTTAATCTTTTATGTCAAACTCAGGATATCGAATTATTTCGGTTGCCTTCTTTTTTGATGATGCGTAGGCAAGGGATTCCATATCTGAAGGTACGAAGACATTTCATAACAACTCGGCAAATTATTTAACGGAATGAATTGAAGAATTCAGATTTTGATATCCCTTGAGGTTGATATAAATTGAACAAATATAAACACAAAAAGTTAGCACAATACAAGAATTACGACTAAAGTGCTTGACTAGCATTTCTATTACTTCCCACGTTTTTGGAATCCATACCACTGGGCCTTTTACTGAAGCTTCTAGCCCTGGACAATGAATAACATCCAAATCCTCAGAGGACTCACTTAATCCCAGTTCTATCAAATTAGCAGGCTTTAAATTAACAATGATTCAATTTAAGATGTCTATGCACATTTAGTTAATACTACAAGGGGTCTTATGGGACTAGATATATGCCCTGTTGTGCTGTGATTACAACCCCTCATCTACTTCATCTTTTCACTAACAAATTGTATTTGGACAAGCTAAAGATGCTCCTAATCTCGCCCCAGTCTCTTGAGACCTTTCCTCAGCTCCCCATTACATTTCCATTGTGCCATGTTCTACATCAATCAGATCAAGTCATTTTTTACAGAATATATTATATTATCGACTAATTTATAGCTCCATTGAGTAATAATTAAATTTTTGTGTCATCAATTATTTTCATTGGTTCTGCATGCTTGGAGGTTGCACCTTTAAAGACAAACTCATGGGGTGAGGGGGTGGAGATGCAAAAATGAAATTTTCATTATTCATATGAAGCATATTATTTTTTATTAATCTCAGATTTCAGTCAACTCAATGTCTTATATTAATGCATGTTAAAACTCTATTGAACAATATTCATAAATTATTTTCTTCAATTGTATTGAAAGAGCAAGTAGTTTAAAAAGTAGTTCAACTTTCTAAGATGTATACATGTACAGTATATGTATATTGATTAAAAAAACAAACAGAAATATTCTTTTTAACAATATGTGCTGGTACATATAACAAAAAACACAAATAGAGTGAAACATGTAAAATGGAACACCTCTAGAATTGGAACACCTCTGTTTTTGGAACACTTTTTAGAGTCTCGGGACCAACTGACTTAATGTTAAATGAACGGTTTGTAGAAAAAACCGGGTATCGGGTAATAAATCCTCCATGGTGGGTTCAAACTTGGTACTCGGTTGGTCGAAAAAACCGGGTACCCAAAAAAACGAAAAATAGCTTCTAGCTCAATCTTGAAGGAAGTTACATACATTCTTGTAAATTCAAAACAAGTCTTACACCGTTTTCTAATGATCTAATTATGTTATATATTCGTATTTTTCGTTTTTTGGGTACCCGTTTTTTTTCGACCGGGTACCGGGTACCAAGTTTGAACCCAGCATGGAAGATTTACTACCCGGTACCCGGTTTTTTCTGCAAACCTGTTAAATGAACTCCCATAAATGGAACAGTTCCAAAGTAGAACACTTAGAGGTACTAAAGGTGTTCAACTTAGACAGGTTTAACTGTAGTGATAGAGTTGCTTGGGAAAATTAAGTAATTTTATTTTCATTCATTTTTCCAAGCAACAGCTACGTTGAGTCATATTTAACTACTAAGGGTCTAAAGGACGATAACACTGTGTAGTAACTGCATTGGAGATGTTGTTCTTAAATGTGAATTGACTAGATAATGTGCGCTAATTGTTTAATCATGTGTGTATTAATGCAAACCTGATCCTCTTTCGCTTGCATTAGACTCGAATTAATGGGAGAAAGCACCATTACTTGATTAAGGCGTGTTAAAGTCATGGTTTAGTAGAGCTGCATTGGGATCAGTGTCAGGCATCACTGTGCATCTGAACGTAGTACCACTTTGCAATCTTCTAATTGATATTTCAAATTAATGTTCATCTAAGTGATCAAGTTATCATTTTTTCTGTAGAACAAAAATGAAGTACAAATAATAACATCTTATCGCACCAGTTAAAGTATTATTGATGACGTTTATTTACCAAGCTAGCATAGTACTAGAGTATATTTTCATGTTTGAAATTAGGGGTTAATTTAAACTTTTGTATAATGTAGATGAATACATAAGCCTAAAAATATCTGTATCAAAAAAGGATAATATCTAAAAAAGATAAAACATAGTTAAAAAGGAAAGTATAAATGGTTATAAGTAAAAAACAAACCACAATGTCCCAAACAGTGGTCTAACATACAAAGGAACAATGTATACCCCCTCTCATCTCTTCATCTCTCTGTGACTTGTTATTGTTATCTGTTAATACTTGTATAGTACAATGATTGGGCCTGCTTCTCAAAAATACATTGGATTATGTTTTGTAAAGATTATTTGAAAATACTGACACATTTACATCCTGAAGGAATTAGGCCTCTGTGTTACAGTATAAGAAGTTTTTGTTATCATTTTGACAATGGCGGTTTTATACATGTATTTTTGTAAAGATAAGTATCATGCTAATTGGATTAGAGGAATATGATAAAGATTAATCCTATACCTATAGCTCAACTTTTATATGAATATAAGCTCAATCGAGGAATTATATTGGAGTATAGATATAGGCTAGCTTTTGCCAAGGGTAATGAGCTAGACCCTATTACATGTGTACTTTTTTCATTCACCCACCAATTAGTTTCATTATGGTTAAAATAAAACCATGGAAACCATGTTTAATACAAATCAACAAACATTGTACAGAAAGATGCAATGTTCCAAAATATTAATGAACATATTTTGCGTGCTAGCATGCGATCATTAAATGAGCGTAAGGTTAATTTTAATGAAGAACCCGTTAAATGATCATTCTCATCGCGAGCAAATGATTTATATTCCAGGCTTATTGAATTTCATAATGAAATAATATAGGCATCAATTTGTAATTTCATTCTATTATTTTTGCACTCGATCCGACTGGAGTAAAGCTTTGGTGATATATTGCGTTTATATGCAACCCCTGAAATTGTATTTCCTATCTTCTAGAATTCTGTGATCATGATTTGAGACTGGATCAGTTGAATTATGATTTTACCCTGTGGCTGTTCCTACCGGTGTATAGAATTTCTACACGTACACATACTTCTCAGTCAGGATTGTGATATATAATCCCAACCTATCCGTTGAAGATTGAAAATATCATATTTAAGCCATGCACAGAGATTTGACTCCTCCGTCTTTACTATGTTTATTAAATATGTTTTTTCTCAAATATTTTAGAAGTAACAGGGCCAGTCGTATTATTATGATGTGAAATTAAAAGACTTCTTGAAAAATTATGTCAATACCGTTAGTAAAGCACATACACATGTATTTTACATTGAATTAATTATTCAAAATGTTTTCAAATTATCAGATTAACACTCTACACTCAAAGTTCAGCTCAATTCCTAAGACTTGACTCTTCATTCTTGACCACTTGTAATTTATATTTATTTCTCATATATTTAAGATGGGCAGAGTTCCTGTGCAAACTACCCCAGAAATGACTTCACCTATCATGACAGCCCCTCTGAAGGTATGTATATGTATATTGTAACTCTCGATAGCTTAATTCTAAAATATGTTATTTATAAAATATGGTATTTATCATATTATTTGTATGTACAGTAGAACCTGTGTATCTGAACACTTGGCTAATCTGAACACCTCCCAATGTGAACACTTTTTTCGGTCCCATTTTTTACTCCCATTGACTCCCATGTTAAAAAACCTTGAAATATGAGCACCTCCTAATTTGAAAATTAACCTGTCTAATCTGAACATTTTTCATAAAATATCACATGTTTCTTACAAAATCGCTCAAATATTTGAAAGTCAAACACTGATTTTTTGACATGATATCAAAACTTTTTGGAAAAACCTTGAATGGTCTCAATCATGATACGGCTTTGCAGCATGGCTAAATTTATTTAAATCAAATTTTCAAATTATTGGAATGTCATAAAGCTTTAAGGTCAAGCTATGAGGAACTTTAAACAATTATGTGTTCACATTTCCAGATTCTCACGAATGCAAAAACTCAAATGTGAACACCTCCTCAGAATGCAAAAACTCAAATGTGAACACCTCCTCAGAATGCAAAAACTCAAAATGTGAACACCTCAGACAGATTTTTTTAATGTATTCATTTAAGATCAAGGAGATCAAGAAGATGAGTCATCAATTGAAGATATTGTAGACTATCTTAGGAAATTGGTCTTCATGAGTGATAGGTCTTAATATTGGGGATTTATGAAAAAATGGGTCTTTATGGGAAATGGCTCGCTATATAAATATAAAATCTTTGTGGGAGTTGGGTCTTTCTTTGATAGAAAGGGGCCATTATGGGAGATGAACCATAAAAGAGATGGCATTTCATTGGAGATGCACCTTCTTGGAAGATGGGTCTGTATGAAAGTGGGTTTACATGGTGGATGTGTTTTTCTAAAGATGAATATACATGGAAGATGAGTCATCATGAAACATGGGCCTTATGTGTAATGTGTCATATATGTATTGATAGGAGGTGGGTCTTACTGGGATAATTAAATTAATTGAGACACTAAAATAAGTATGGATGTGAAATAAAAAAGTTGTGCAAAATGTGATTTACTGAAATTTTAAAACGACTGTTATAGAATTAATGCACCCCTTGTGTCTATAGTGTTTATAAATAATATAAATAATGAAAATAATTAAGAGTGGTGAATCTAGGAGTCCAAGTTCTTAACCCTATGTACAGAGCTAATAGACTATATGTCACCTTTAGGTTAACAACATGTGATGTTCTTATTCCATAAAATAATAGTTATACACTCAAGGTAAAATAACAAATTATTAATAGATGCTGAAAGGCTAATCTAAACTAAAAGAAACAAACAAATGTGTTTTATTTACATGAATCCAGTTTGTAATTACCAGAAAAAAGCTTTGTTAGAGTGTCAAAGGGAATAGCAATATTTTGTAAAATGAGAGGCCTGGCTATATAATCTGGGTATAATTCTAGGGATTAAGCTCTACGTTACGGACCCATCTCCTGTTTTAAACAATAGCTAAGAGAGATATAATGATATTGCTCTGGCAGCAAAACAAATGGCACTCAATTTACACCGTAAATTAATCACGACAATGGCACAGTTAGCTGGACGATTTTATTTATTTAAATGTGATCCCTTTTCTAGTTATGTAATGTAATAAAGATCGTAAAATGTGCGTTTGATTAATATGTTTCAGCATTGCTAAAAGATTTTGTAATTTTTACAATTTATCTTATATAATAAAGCCTTTGACTTTTGTGCTACACCTACGTAGATTTATCAATTTACCAATCTTGTATTTAGATAACATTACCCATTGTCCAATAGCTCTGCCATTTTACCAATACCTAACACATGACTTAACATGAAATAAAAACATAAATTTGCTAATCTGAGACCTCAATATTGTCTTTTGTATATATCTATATTCTTACTAACGATCCCAATTTCGTGAAATGAGCTCAATCAATGATAGTAATGCACTGATTTGAATGAATATTATTGTGATACAGTAAAAAGAAAATAGTAGAAATTGTTTTCATTTTGTTCTTGTACACTTTGAAGATTGGGGAAGAGCTTTGAAAGTGCTCTTCACTTTATTTGAACCAAAATCAATATCTGTAGATGATCAGCCATATTATGACGTTTCTCTAAGACGCCATGCCTCTGGTCCTCATAGGGTCTTTCATATGCCAATATCACACCAGGTAGACATTGGAGTGGGGCATCTTACAGATGAGACCTCATGTTTAACTCTTTTAAACTTCATAATTGTATCTTCAGACCTATTCACATGCTGCATAGCCTCATGTTGAACCTCTTCAAAGCTGAAAATGTCATTTCTCAATTTAAGCCATAGCCAGCTAGAGAATTGTTATTCTTATCATCTTCTGTACTTATGACATCACTATGAGTTGTTATTGTTAAAGCAACAGTTTTACGACTGTTGTTTATTGTTGGCGTTAGTATCCACATCAGCATTTGGTGTCTGTAACAATTGTTACACATTTGGAATAGCAATCAGGTGACATTTTGTCATGTTAACGCTTTGTTTATTTTTGAATTGCAAAAAAGACTTGTAGAACATTAAGAAAGGACGGACATTGGCCAATGTGTGAATAATTTAGGTTGACTACCAATTCACAGAAAAGCTAAGAACTCCTATAAACCATATCATATTTATTAAGACTCCATACTGGTTGATTTAAATATCTATTGTAAAGTATGACATGTTATTAAAGGTATACCCTACCCCTGTGACAACAGTTTGAGGATGTTTTATCCTGATGACCGTGGCTGTATTGACAGATACCCAACTTCAAGGCTGGACAAATTCACTGGAAAAGCATTTGAAGGTAGGGCTAAACTTTTAGATCTTGATCAAAATAAGATAATAAAATATGATCCAATTTTAGACGTGCATATGTATTTATAGAGATAGCATTTGTATTTATCAATAGATGAAATTAAATGTACTTTATTTTGTTTTAATTGATGAATGATTTAACGTTTCTTCTTACCAGGTATAGAGTAATTGCCCAATAATTAGACCATTGTTGTTTTATCACAAGTGCCTTCAATAGTATAGGGGTATTCAAATGAACCGATGTACTTTTGGAAATAATGAGTTTTTAAGTTATCTGACCTATGGGTTGAACATTGGGCCTAATGATTGTGAAATTGCTATTGCACATCAGTGTTATAGGATCATAGGGGCGGGAGGCCTCTATTGCAATATTCCCTCCTCTACAAATATGTTTTAATTGCTCTTTGTGGTTTCATGCATTTTATTTGAGTAATTACAATTTAGTTGATTTCTATTAGTTCTATTAGCATTATGCACCATGTAACCCTTTCTAAGATTTTCATTCTGTATCTTTCAAAATCATAAACTGCAACAAATGTATAAAAATCTTGAAAGTACAGTTAAATCTTGAAAGTACAGTTAATCTACACTCTGAATAAGAAATTATGCTTATATAATTCAGGATTGTAAACTCTGTGCTAAATTATACTTTTCAAACTCAGTATAATGCTGAATTCAGCACATCAAACCCAGCACAATGATCAATTCAGCATATCAAACTCAGCACAATGATCAATTCAGCATATCAATCCCAGCACAATGCTGAATTCAGCACATCAAACTCAGCATAATGCTGAATTCAGCATATCAATCCCAGCACAATGCTGAATTCAGCACATCAAACTCAGCACAATGATCAATTCAGCATATCAATCCCAGCACAATGCTGAATTCAGCACATCAAACTCAGCACAATGCTGAATTCAGCACAAAATACTCATAAAAATGTACTAAGCACAATGGAACCATCATATTGCACTCAGCACACTGCACAACAACATATAGTCAAGCATAGACAATGGCAGCAAAATCCACCAAAACTTCAGATATAACAGCACTGAGCTCAGACATGATTCACAATAATACAATTGAAAATTCACGATATGCTGGAGAAATGGCTCCCATACCAGATTAATGTGCAATCAGACAAAATAAACGTTCCAATAAAAACCAATGAAATATATTCGCTCAATGTTTATAATCGCTCTGAACCAACTAGTTGCTGAGCGATAATGAAATGTCTAAATGTGATCACTGCAATTATACTCACATTATCTTATTAATTTATTAACATATAGAGCTTATAAGGCTCCTTTGTGTCAAACTACTTCTCTCTTCCAAAATATTGTGTTTTCATTTATAATTTACTGGCTGGATATTTAGGAAAACATTGATATTTTTAAGTTCATCATTAAAACAGGTGTATCACTCATAGTGTATTGATTCACTTCAGTCTTCCTTTCATTTGCTGTAAGAAATAACATATCACGTACAGTAATGTGATATTTTATGAGGGGCTAACATATGTTCAGTATTTTTTAGGTTGCATATTTTGCCGAAATGTACTTTGATCTTCAGATATTAATATAGTAACATACAGTGTACTGTTATCAATTTATTTCTTTAAATTCAAGTAATTGCACCAAAGTTGAACCTACTATTGATTTTTAGGTTGTGAATCTCATTGTAATGTGAATCTTGAAATTCAAATATAGAAACATGACTTTCTTTATTTCAATGAAGCAAACAATTTTACCATATTTATTAATAAAAAATATGGTTTTACTTTTATGATTGTGTAAGGTAAACGGTTCAAAAGATAAAATTGTTTTTAGAATGTTATTATGCAATCATAGATCCGTTAGCTTTCGAGGTTAAATGACAAAATCATAAACTGCAACAAATGTATTAAAATCTTGAAAGTACAGTTAATTAAGACTGAAAAACATATCCAAGGTAGAAAAATGTTCTCTAAATCTAATTAAACGTGTCTCTCTGCTTTAATTGTAAAATTGGCATGAGTAATTGCACGGAGCACGTGAGTTTTATAGCTGAATAGCTTGTAATGGCAGAATGTGATTTACATTACAATCCCGAGCACAAAAGAAAGACGGTGAAACAAAAATCATGCATCAATTTAAACAGAAAACTTTGTGACAACTTTTAGAAGAAGCATTTATTGTTTTTGTTTGTTTGATATTTTTAATTGCATTTTGTAAAATGTTTGAAAAATGACCAGTTAATGGAGTGATTAAAATCAATTATGGAATCGTTCCTTGTTGAATTTGGATAACATAAAACAGTGATTTGTACCAGGATTTTTTCATGTGAACAACCAAGAATAGTTTTTATTAGCCGACCAGTGAGAAAAAAACATACATTAATTATCATCTTCAAACATAAAACTGCGCTATATCCCATAAAAATCTCGACACCATTAATTTTTATCCATTTTGCGGAGAAGAGATGGCTTTTTCTGTCAGAGTATAATTGCTTAGAGTGAATGACTATTGTGCTAATTGTGAGCTGGGAGAATTTTGAAGACATAGAAACAACGGCGGAGGGTAATCAGTATTGTTACCCAGCCATTTATTACCAAGACTTTACTACCGTAATGCTAATGTGCCTTCAGACCTGCCTCACCGTGTAATATTGTCATAACATTTCTACTGTATTGATTATATCGCCTTTTCTGGATTGATGGAATTTTCATCGCAGCAGTATAGATAGTGATTTTCACTACTTTAATCGCAATCTAAAATTAATCTTATGTCAATTTCTCTGTTAAAGGGTATTGCCTTGAATTTGAAATCATCAAATGACAAAATACATGCTGTCATTCAATGCATCTTGTTTCAGTCATAAACTTTAAATCACACTGGATTTTGGTTGACTACAAAGAATCTAGAAAAAAATTATGCGAATAAATTAAACTTGAAAGAAATTAGAGGAATTCATTTATTTTAGAAGGAATAAAATTTTACATCTTAATATCTCTTTTTGAGTGCAATATCAATTCAAAAAACGAGTTTCTTCAGACATCTTACCAGATTTTTAATATTTAGATTATTATTGCACAATTAATTAGCTTATTCATTATATCAGGGCTGATCTTCACTGGGATCCCAAAAATCTGCCATTGTGTTTTTAGAAAAATAAAAACGTTAGTCATGGAAATGATTACGGCTCCTCATTTTTGTTTCAGTGTCAAAACAATGGTCTTAAAATTATATGTTTGTTAATTCTTTAATAACAAATGACATACTGACACTTTAAAAGGTAGCAATTATCAGATAATATTTATTTTGTGTTTACCTATAGATGGCAGCATACATTCTTATGGTCTTAGTATTAGCAAAATATTTATATTTGCCTCATAATGTCCAAGAAAATACTTTTAATGAGTGCTTTTAGCAGCTTACAAAGTGGAGACTAAACCTAAACAGAGATTGATGGCCAGGCCTATTCATCATCCTTAGATTAATTCTAAAAAATGATTGTTCCAAACAGCAACCTGTTTACAATGAGACCTGAAACAATGTGATGGCAGTTTCGATTTGACTTTAACATTAAAACTAACTAAAAGCTATCGCTCGAGGCAAATTCTCAGGTATAAGTCAACGTTTTTTGTAGCATTTCTCATTAATCAAGAGACTTAATTCCATACAGGCAATTTTCTAAGAGGTATTCATAAGCCAAACATATGGCCGTGTCAAACTTAATATTGAAAACTATCTTTTAGATTTTACATATTGACTGATCCAGTGCCTTGGTTATCATTAAATTCTTAGTTTAATTTGAAAGCATTGAAAATGTGACATCCATTGCATAAATACTGTATTTATGCAATTAGAGATAGAGACTCATCACAATTAAAACATATTTGAGAGTGATAGTGTGTAAATGGTATTGTTCATCTTATATACCCCACTGATTCTATATCCCAGTGTTATTTATATATATATAATCAATTTATTCAATTTATCCATAATAACATAGTAATACTAGTAATGTTATTAATAACAACGATTGGAAACTGGAATTATTTTTAATTTTCAAAACTCAGTCTGTACCTTTATGCTCAGCTTTTAAAGTTATGACTGATAATCATGTCAGAAATGACAATGAATAGAGATTGTCAATGATTTCTTTCTATATGGCTGGTTTGTGGTCGTGGCTGGTGCATTGTGGTCTACATCTACCCGTAGTGCCGCCAAGCTTGAGTGATTTAAATAGAATTAATGTTATTATTTAATTAATAGCAATTAGCTTTCTACAACGAGTTCATTCCCATTTTTAGTGGTGACTTTTTCTTAATACATTTCACATTGCCACATTTATAATTATTTAGTTGATAATCAGTAGATGTGAAATGTCATCAATATCACATAATTAACTCAAATTCAAACACATTTAGGAGCCTTAGATCCAATAAATCAATTTTAATTGAAACATCACATTCCGTGTATTTTCAGAAATACAAAAAAATACAAAAACACCAATACAACCTTTTTATAAAATGATGACAAATAATAATTCGAATTTGAATATATGTCAATAATATTTTACTTTTGTGTGTAAGCAGGTTTAATGTGAGTCACATGTTGTGAGTTATTAGTGATCTGTAAATGTCCTTTTCTAGATTCCCAGGTGATCCATCATCTACCTATGTCATAGTTAATCCTCAATTGAGAACCCTCATATTACAGTTCAAACCCACAGCATTGACTCCTGTACCCTACCCTACTAAAGAGTCTGACATTGTATACACTCTTAAAATTAAAAATGATTCTTCGATTTAGGCTATTGTGGTCAGAAAATCCTGATGCTACTTTTTTACCTAAACATAGCAATCATTCATTGTATATTCGAAATTCAATAAAATGCCATACCAACTATAGATGAGATTATTAAGATCAACATTGGGATATGTGTAATAGCCAAAAGGAAGTATGTCTAGAAGATTGAGATTTAGGGTTTGTAGGCATATCCATAACTGTCACTCAACAGTAATATGCTAAAATATGTTTTTTTATTCAATCTTATTGGAGTGAATTTGCAAAAATGTTTATCAAATCTTAACTCTCCCAAAAGTATAATATTTAAATCACATATTTTTGTAAGAAAGCCAATCAAATTAATAATCTTAAAGTCTCAATAAATTGCCAATATATATATTTCTAAGACTAATCTCAATGCTATAAAAAGTCAAAGTCGACATTATTCAAAAAAACATGGGCCTAGGCTTAAGAGTGGCTCCCATATTCTTGAAAAATATGCCTAAGATTTCAGTGTAGATCATTTTAGTGGCATTTCCCTGCCAATCTCTGTTGAACCGACTTATGCTTGTCATTTTCCAGACCCTTACTGCAATAACAAATCCTAATTACATCAATTGATGAATGCTTGATTAAAATATACAGGGATTAGTGGGGATTAATAGTTGTTTTATGCATCTATCAAACGGGTCCATTTCACTCACAAAGACTTGTCTAAAATACTCAGCCCATATTGTATGCAATTAATTTTTAACCTATTGACTTGCAAAGTTAATCAATTATCTGATCATCATTGCAAATTGTATTGAATTGATCATTGTCTGAGTCTTATTGAGGGAAAATTGTATTGGGGATCGTTTTGTTATAAAATTATAAAGTGAGATAATGGATGAGTTTTAGAATATGCTGTATCATGTATTCCCTATTTAAACAATGATTTCTTGGAGACATCTCTTAGAAACATCTTCAGCGATAATTTCTTTGAAACAATGGAAATAAACCATTTTATAACAAATGTATTTTTCTAAATTTTTGTGTGTACTGTACTGAGGTTTGACATTAATGTTTGTTAGATTAGGTTAAAAAATACATTTCTATGTCTTAATTGCTTGCAATAAGGTTTTGGTTACTTGTTCAAATAGTAGAATGTTTGAATTAATAATAATCTTGAAAAACAATGTAAGGATTTTTTTACACACGAAGAAGATTTATTTTCAGTTTCAATTTCCTTTACTTACTTTAACAAACTGCTCTAAAATGACAGGAAATATTGCACAACAGTGCACTCCCTAAATTCAAAAGCACATTTATACCATAATTCCCAGCAAACAAGTTTATTTCTAAGAATTTATATCATCAATTTGTTTTAAAATATAATCCATTGTTATAGTATCACACATGACAACAATTTCTATGGTAACCGGTGATTACTTCATAGACCTTATACTCCAGTGTCTTTTATAACTGTCGCAACCATGCGGCTAATTTCCTTAAATTAATCTTCAGACAATAGCCACTCAGAGGAATAATGGTATTATGATATAAAAATGGTATAGATATTATTTGATCCAATGTCGGCATTATTTTGCGGCAATGGGTGATAGTCTACAATGGTGACATCTTTAATACTTTGTTGCACTTCAAACAACATTTAAGTAAGAAAAATGGCTTATTTGAGCCAGATATACTAGAATATCACCGAATTCTGAGATATTTGTAAATACCTGTACTGCTTGCATGAAATACCCTGCAGTTGAAATATAAGACAGATTGTGACACTTTGATGCATACGTATATCATTTTTCATATGTTTTTCAATAAACATGTTCAGATCTTTTTCAGACTAAAGCAGAATATGATAAACTGTTAACAAGCGAAGTTAAAAATGATTCATGATAATAAATTAAATTGAAAAATTATATCATTATTCAATATTTGAATGAATAATTATAATGCACAAGTATCTTCAAATGTTGAATAATGATATGATTTATACCAAACTCAAACAATACATGATTATTACCTGATCTATCATATGTTGAAATTGTTAATTACATGTATATTGTGATACCCATTAAAAAATTCATTCTAATTTCTCCCTTTTCTTACTTTTCCTCAAATGAATCGAAGTTCTTTTTAATGGAATTCATTTTATTTTAAATAGAGCTGTCTCATTTTTAATTATTTCATTCTTGAAGATTCATCTTTGTAAGATTTACATTTTAAACTTATGCATCTCTTTATTAAAGGGAATTCGAAAACTACCCTTGCAAAAGCTTGATTGACTTCATCCTGCACTCTTAATACAATTATTTATATAACTAATGAACCACTGAACCCTCCTCACCAATCAGTGCCAGCCATCACAGAAAGGTGGTTCTCTATATTATCATGTGAAAATATTAGAGTAAGTTTGGCTCTCGAATTGGTTGTATGTCATACTATGAAATCGTCAATCCTAGTTAGAGGGAAATGTATTATCCAGTGAGCTCAGGGTATTTGTTATTTATTTGAAGGTATTGAAGTGAAGCAGGAGATGTATAGAGATTGCTTCATGGAGAGGTACTTGAGGGAGCCTCCTCCTCTCCCCACCTACCAGAGAAGAGGTTCGCTACAACTCTGGCAGTTTCTAGTCGCTCTCCTGGATGACCCTTCTAATACTACATGTATAGCGTGGACAGGAAGGGGACTGGAGTTCAAACTCATCGAGCCTGAAGAGGTAAGATGATCCAATTACTTGATTCTCTTATAATAAGTCTCTTATCTGGGTGATTTATATAAATGTAACTTTATATAAGAGATCAGTTCTATATAATACTATTATAAGTGTGTACATAATGTTTATTATTAGAAAAATAAAGTTGTGCGCCAAGTGCCCATCTTCTCCTACATGTTAAAGGGTATGGAGAGGACAAAACAGCTAGAGGCAGCTTGATGCAAGACTAATAAAAAATATTTTAGGGATATCCTATGGTTTTGAAAAAATATCATTAATATCCATGAGTGGATATAATTGATATTTTGAAAAACCATAGGTTTGTCCGTTCATCCCATGGGAAATCCTAACCCAGCGAAAAAAAAAAAATTTTAGAAAAAAAAATTGTTAAAAAAAATATTGAAAAACATGTGAAAAAATCTAAACCATCGAATATCACTTTTGATTTTGGGGATTTTTTGTTAAAATATGATATCTTAATCCACATATCAAATATATCTTCACCTGATATTCGATCTATTGTAACCATGGGATAAAATGCATATATTATTTTAGGATGAACATTTTACTATATGAATGAACTATGGACATCAATTAAATAATTTCTTGTTGACAAGGGGAATTTGAAATCAATATTATCCATGTTTTTACAGAATTTCACTTCAATTATATTGAATATTTCCGGGAGTGGGGTGGATATATTATATCTGTCAGCATTTAGCCTGGAGCGGGACATGTATAATATATCCTGCCCGCTCCTCAGATATGATATATATTCCCAGGTAATATGTATCCAAAACCCACTCAAGTATGAGATACATAGGGGTTATGCACTGGGAGGTTTTGGATACAGGGAATATCCCGAGGGATATACAATATATCTTCCCGAGGGACCGAAGGGACCAAGGGAAGATATATTGTATATTCCAAGGGATATTTCCTGTATCCAAACCGACCGTGCATAACTGTTGTATTCCATACCTGATGAGGTTTCAAAATAATTTTTTTCAGAATTTTTTTTCAACATTTTTTTCAAATTTTTTTTACATAATTTTTTTCCACAATTTTTTTCAAATTTTTATTTTCAAATTTTTTTCCCGAATTTATTTTAAAGTTTTGTTTCAAAATTTTTTTTTGAGCGGGACATACGATTTATATGTCCCGGAGCTCCGTTGGAGCGGGACATACGAAAAATATTTGCCCGGATATGGAATATATTCCCGGTTGATATGTCCCTGAAACCTCACCAGGTATGGAATACACTTGTATATCTCCCTCCAGACAGATATAATAGATGAGAGTAAAATAACAGGAGCTTTAGGATATAATGTTTATCCCAAGGGAAATAAATGATACCTCCCAGAATTTGAATGGGACTTAAGTTTCAATTTCCCTTCCCTGGCATTTATAACTTTTGCATCATTTTTTGGATTTGCATTGTACATATATTTATCTGAACTCTTTGTCTTTGTAGGTGGCTAGAAGGTGGGGTCTACAGAAGAACAGACCAGCCATGAACTATGACAAATTAAGCAGATCATTGAGATACTACTATGAGAAAGGTATCATGCAGAAGGTAGCAGGAGAAAGATATGTTTATAAATTTGTATGCGACCCAGAGGCCTTGTTCACCATGGCATTTCCTGATAATCAGAGACCTGTTTTAAAAACGGATCCCCTCCAAGTGTCTACGGCTAATAAGGGGGACTTTTGTTTGCGGGAACCTGCTCCCGCACACAGGGAGGCTGGGGCTGGTTTACGAGAAATGGCACCAGTCTCGCCAGAGAGCCAGTCCCTGACACTTAAGACATGCGTTAGTACTTCGTACACAAACTCTAGCCATGTTTCACCATGTAATGGACAAAGTATGAACCTGCTGTGTGCTCCTAATGTGGGCCCCAGTCATTGTGGCCCTAGTAGCCACAGTTCACCTCAGCAAAGTCCTAGCTCAGAGATGACCTTCCCACCTATGTCTGTACATGGATACAACATACAGAGTGTCAACAGGAGTTGTAATCCAGGCACATATATTGAGGACTATGTATACTAGTGGACTAAAAAGTAGAATAAGCATATATACAGTAAATGTAATATTAGTTTGAAAGACTTGTGTGCGTGTGAAAATATGAGATACTATACATTAGTACCAGGTGCTGCTAAGACACAAAATGAATGTAAATAGAAAATCGTATATGAAAAGGCACTCATTTTTATTTCCGAAATTAAGGATGTTTCAAGTGATATTCCTAATTCTTTTTGGGCTCAAATAAAAAGCCTAGTCCACTGATGATAGCCACATTACTTTTTCCAGACTGGTACTCATCACATCTCTCTGTTTCACTAGTAACATCCTCTGACATTATTAATGCTTCAAGATTGAAATGGGGGGAGGAGGGACTAGTAACATCCTCTGACATTATTAATGCTTCAAGATTGAAATGGGGGAGGGGGGAGGGGGTTATGACTGTCAGAAAGTGTGATGATTATCAGTTAAATAAAAGATGAGCTGAGGTGGAACATCTCAAAATGCATTGAATCTGGTGTCCAGATCACCAAACCATGGATTTTTTAGGATGCTTTGTCTCGAAAGTTCATAACCAAACAATCCAAAATATCATGGCTTGTTCGTCAGAACTGGGAAGACCTGTTAATCATGATGGTCTGAAGTTACCTTGCATGTAATGTCTGTGACTAAATTGTATCAAAGCATGAATTTTGAAACAATTTATTACACCTTATAAATGTAACATAGATGTTACACTTATTATAGGCCATCACAATAAGTGTAACATATATTAGTGTTACACAAATTGAAGGACGACTTTTTAGAGTTCTATCAGTAATCGTAACACAGATTCAACTAAATAACCTCAGTAAACATAAAACATACTGATATGTCATCATTGTAAATGTTATACATATTGAAGTTTAACACAATGAGGAGTTGATTACACATATTAAAAGCTCACCACATTAAGTGTTACACATAATTAAAGATCGCCCAATAGGTGTTACACATATTGAAGATTAACTTGAATAAGTGTAACACATATTAAAAAGTCTCCTTAATATATGTAACACATCTTGAAGAGTAATCTGAATAAATGTTATGCATATTGAAGAATAAGCTTAATAAATGTAACGTATATATAAAAGGGTCATATCACTATGTATAACACATATTGAAGAGTAAATTTGGTAAGTGTAATACATACTGAAGTGTAACACCTAACAAGATAACAAGACAAAATAACTTATGGTAAGACAACTTATGGTAAGGCAATATAATATACGAGAATACTGCAAGATAACTTATGACAAGACAAAATAATAAATGAAAAAGATCAGACAAGATAACTTATGACAAGACAAAATAATAAATGAAAAGACAAGATAACTTATGACAAGACAAAATAATAAGTGAAAAGACAAGATAACTTATGACAAGACAAAATAATAAATAAAAAGACAAGATAACTTATGACAAGACAATATTTGAGAAGACAAGATAAAGTGTGACAAGACAAGGTAATTTGTGAGACAAGACAAGATATCCTATGGAAAGAATATATGAGAAGACAAGATAACTTATGACAATACAAGATGGTGTATGAGAAGACAAGACAATATATGAGAAGACAAGATAAAGTATGACAAGACAAGGTAATTTGTGACAAGGCAAGATAACTTATGACAAGACAACTTATGACAAGGTAATTTATGAGGAGACAAGATAAATTATGGCAAGATAATATCTGAAGATAACTTTTGACAATACAAGATAACTTATGACGATACAAGATAATATATGAGAAGACAAAGATAAAGTATGTCAAGACAAAATAATTTTATGACAAGACAAGATATTTTATGGAAAGAAGACAAGATATCTTATGACAAGACAAGATCGATTCTTTTGATCTTGTCAATAATTTTCTATGACAAAACACTATGTTGCTCACATTTGCTTCACATTTTCACTTATTTTATCCTAGTCAATATTAAATTAATCTTTCTCAAAGCTTAGGTGCTCATTTTCTTGCTTTTTGATTTATGCTGACTTCTAGTGAACGAAAGTTCTTTATTTATGAATGAAATTATATGCTGTAATTTATCCAGATATTGTAATTATAAATAGAAAATATGTAAAATGCCAAAACTGGTGCAATACATTTTATTAAATTCGTTTAATGATGTCGAAATAGCCCTTTATATTGTAAATAAAATCTAATTATTGATTCCGGGCTCGACAATATAAATTTATAATTTTTCCAATTGTATTTTACAAATATTTGACATGCATGTAGTGTACATAACATATTTATAATACTGACACTTAACAATTTTTTCAACCTTCACGCTAAATACCCTTTAATGAATGGTAAATGGTATGTCATAGTCGGAGGATTCAGCTTTTGTTATTCATTTTACTTTAGTGCTTTATTGGATGTACCAATAAACTAATAATAGGGGAATTTGAAAACTGTTTCAGAATACTTTATTTTAAAAGCACCCCCCTGGCCGAAAATTCTTTCAAAATCATGCAGTTTTTCACCATTTGGAGCACTTCTTTGTCAAATAGTCATTGTCAAATTGTCATTGTCATTGAACCCCCTCCTGGAAATTTTTGAAAATTGAACCCCCCCCCCCCCCCTTGGCAAATCCTGGCTACAGGCCTGAAAAGTATGCATAAAACGTGTGTTTGCAGACTGTAAAATGTTTTTGAACATAGATAAGAATGATGAATATTCCCCATGAATATCACGAGGGGGATCTTTGAACTATGACATACCATTTATCAAATACTGTAATCTATATCATTTCATCATTTTTCTCCAGTTTTAGAACTTGATAAAAACTCATCTTTTACATTCATGTACCTGTGCTTCCATTCTTTGATAATTCTTCTTTTGCATGCTTTATGAATATCTTCAAACCTTGGAAATTCATCATTGATTGTATTGTATTATGAAAAATTTAAAATTGTAAAAATAATCTATATATTATGAATAGTAAAAATACAATATATACATATGTAATACCTGTATGTTATGTTAAATATAGTTAATGTCACTACTGGTTTGCATATTCAAGATTGGCTAAAGCTCTCTTCATCGACTCATCTGCTCATCTATACTCCGCTATAATAGAGGGTTTCGGAGAAATGCACTTAGTAAGTATGGGGATAAAAAGTGACAGCTTGATTAATAGCTTAACCATGGTCCAGATTATATGCCTTTGATGATGATTGAAAGAATTATACCAAGTAATGGCATTGTTAATGTATTTTTGTTGCTTTTTGGTTCATAATTAGCAACATATTGGACAAAAGACCAATAAAAATGAAAGTGGTGACCTGTAATTTTTATTTTCTTAAAATTAACTTCCAGTAATAAACTTTCCAGTGTAAAAAATTAAAGAATCCTGTTGTTCAGTTTTAAAAAAGCCTCTTATTCCACTCCACCTATAGCTAATTATTAGCTATATACTCTCCTATTTCCCAACATGGAGATCACAAATGTTGTCAGTGACGCCATCTTTTTTGTTTGAATATGAAACATTGTCATGTCATAGTTATTTTAGTATAAAATATAAACACTTTATCATGAAGTCATTTTTAGGCCTTCGGGTAAACAACCATCATAATATGGGTAACCACACTTAAAGGGAGTATCATATCTAGCAAGCAAGCTAAACAAAATTGTTTCAATTTCAGAATATTTTATTTTGATATTGTATTTGAGATTGGAAGGTCAATTGTACACATGACTTGCAATTTTGTCGATCACCTCTATAAATATGATTCTGCCTTTAAACATACCATTGAAAAGCTACTTGTTTTGCATTTTCTTTTCATCATGTCAGAAAGAAATTGTTCTTTAAACAACAGAGAAATGAAATCTTACATATATGATATCTTTACCTTCAAATATGACAAGTGGATCTAATAAAGAAACACCAGCATGAGTATCTCGTGTATACAGTATTGGCAAACAATTTTTCTCAGCCTGAGTGGATGTTGGAACCGGGACAATAAAAAATATGTATTAGAATAACACATGAATATTCTGCGTTTTGGTTGATCACAGATATTTTACGCATGTCTAGCTATGTGTTACAAGGGAAAAAATAAATGCATGGAATATTGATTTAGAGAACAACACCGGGGATTATATATGAGAAAAACCAGTGTTTCGTCTAGTGTATTGCATCATCCGGGTATTTCAATATGGCAGGAAAGAAAAAAGTAAGCAAAGATGATTTGCGCCGTTTGATGAAGGAATCAAGGTCGAGCACTGCGAAAAACCAGCGAATAGATTCTCCACTAGCTAAATATCCTTTCTGAAATAAGCTTTGAACAGAATTACTGAAATGGACATGTATTTACTCAAATAATTTCCGTCTCACTCTATTATCGCCCACAAATGGGACAGAACTGAGCACAGGAATATACTTACAGTCCATTCAATTGACAATTGGATTGTGTGTTTATAAAACCTAAAAAGCAATTCAAAGACCACAGTGCAATTTAATAAGGAAGATACAATAATAGTCTACACGGTTCTAGGTGACGGTGAATATTTTTTGAAGTTTGCAAACTCTTCCTGGGAAGTCATTGTTTTATTTCATTGTTGCTTGTGCACTGTTATCATTACTAAAGAACAACAAAAACAAAAAATGCAATATAAAGATTTTGACCAAATTTTTTTCAAGAAGTAGCCCGTGAAAAACTGCTGATCCAAAGTCAATTCCAGTGCGAATTTGTATCCCTGGATCTTATCAGACTCTTTTCTGTAATTTACAGATCTGTCTTATCTGTTTATCCAGTAACAACATTTGTAGGTCTAACCTTTTCAATCTTGTCTATGTCACTTTTAAATGTCATATTCCATTGCTTTGTTGTTATATTCTCGATTGGGTTTTAGCGACTTGTAGTTTTCTGAATATTTCGCTATCCATAAAATGTAAGAGTATGTTGCATTGCTCCCATATTCTTGTATTATTCACACATTTAGCAACCATTATGCAATGCAGACTTGAGCTTAATCCAAGAATAGTGTGTTAAATTTAAATGATCCTTAACAAGCGTACATACAATGCACTTGGACAGTTGGTGTGTATTGTCTGCAATATACACCTGAAGTCAGAGAAACTATGGAATGCACACTTGATGGGCAGATCTCACAAGGAGGTATGTACAACAGAAGCAATATTATCATCTCTTTCTGTGGATTAGAAAGGTTTATGTGAATGTACATGTAGATACATTCTGGTTTATCAGAGTCCAACATAATCTAATGCTTGAGAGGAATAGTACAGGCTGTGGATTCATTTTTTGGATGGATGGAGTAAAATTTCATTTCATTTTACTAGCATTTATAGATTATTTAGAACCAGAGACATATAAAATGTATATATACATATAATATGTTTTATATGTCTCTGTTAGAACTAAAAATGGGTAGATATTAATTGACTTTTTGGGTTGATTCCAAGGCAAATCTGAAATGAAATTCATTGTATTTTCTGATGACATAATATTTCCGCCTGCGAGTATCTGATATAAGGAGTTAATATGACAACTGGTCTTAAATTCAATCGTTTAGCACTAGTTTGTTGAACACTTATGACAGATCCTGCTCATGCTAAAATATAGAAAAATGTATTTCTATTTCAGAAACATGCTGCTTTGAAAGCAAAACAAGAGGCAATCAACAGAGGAGGTGTGGTTCCATCTATGGCCCCACCAACAAAAGCTGCCAAAAGAAAACTTGAACAACAGACAAACAATATACCAGAGAAAAAGCCTAAAGGTATGTATCATCTTACTTGTGCTAGTTAAACAAATTGCAGAAGAAAAAAATAAAATGTAAAACAGGTGGGCAAAGTAGAATTAGGGCTTAAGCCTGGACCATTAAACATGATTCAAGTTTATTGAAACGGTTGAAAATAGAATTTCAGTAAGTTGAATCCCTAAAGCAATTTTTATAATTACAATTACATATTTTGAAATAAATGCAAGAAAATTTATACCCGAGTCTCAATATTGGATGTTGATTGTCTGAGGCAAAAACTGATTTATAATCTTAATTCTAGGTATTTTGGTTAACAAAAGCACTCTAGGCTTGGGGGATTATTCATCATCAGATGAGAGTGATGAAGAGACTGCCGTAATGGGAGGTCAGCCTGTTGGGGACTCCAACAATATGCCAACTACAGAAAACACCCCTTCTCTACCTGCAGGTAAGTGTGTACATGGAAATTTTTGTTACAATAAATGTACATGTACTAGTCTCAGGCCAGGAAAATGGTTTTGTCCCTCGCAAATATCTAGGTGGCAAGAATTAGAAGAGTTAACCCAATTGGGCACCTGCTTATATGGTATATTTAATTACCAAGAAATTTTGAAAATGTACACGGCCAATCTGCAACAGTATCGTTCAGTACCACTTCGGAAATGGTATTATACGGTTCCATGAAATATGGTACCGTGGACTAAAATGGTACCGTGCGGTTCCATGTACGGCATTATACTCCAACGGTACTGTAAGGTACCTTATTTTTAATGAATGTACCGTATGGTACTGTGATTTTAGAATGCGGATTGGGGGTGTATTTTTTAGTGTAATCAGAATTTTCACTGAAAATTTTCACAACTGAAATAAATAGTTTTTTCAATCACAAGTTTGGATAAATTATATATATATATTTCCACTTTCTTGTACATTTTGTATGATTAAGATCTTTAAGACAAAAAATAATTTTTTCATGGCCTTAACATCAATTGAAATATTAGCGGGAACTTGCTTGCCTGATTCATTTCACAACTCTAAGAATATACACTTTCATTACAGATTTCTTTGATAATGGAACTGGAAAGTCAAATGATGTTAAAAATGAAGATACTGAAGATGTTGAGGTTAAACCAACTACAATGGCTGAAAAGTTGCCTGAAGGATTCTTTGACAATCCAGAAAAGGATGCCAAGGTAAAAACTCAATGATAAAAGGATATTATGAATAACTTATTTCGGAAATATTCAGTTTTAGGTACACATTTATTTTAAAAAGTGACATCTTTATGTTTTCAATTATATATTATATTATAGTATTATTCCAGACAGGATCCGAAAGGTACTGTTTAGTAAAATAAAGGTTGTGAAAAGAAGAAAAAATATTTTTGTGATTTGATAATCCAACCTGAGGAACATGTTTAAGAATATATAAATTATGTTCAGACAAACTGAGAATTGCATTGTTTGATTTCAGGTCAGAGAGGTGGTATATAAAGATAAAATGGAGGAAGAATGGGAACTTTTCCAGAAATCTGTCAAAGAAGAAACAAAGGTTGGTAAGATCTTGATGTAGCGGAGTATTGATAAAAAAAACTTGTCCCCTATCATGTCACCACCACAAGTGGTGACATATTGTTAGTCTCCAACTTTTTTGTGGATGTTGTTCAGCAGACGGCATCTGGTGTTCAGCGTCTGTAACAAATCGCAGGTGGTGACATTTATATAACATGACAAAATGTTACCACCTAGTTGCTCACAATATTATTAGTTCAATCTTAAGTCAGATTTGAATTTCTTAGCACTCTGTAGATGATTTTGAAAAAAAATTGGTCAATTTGAAGTGGAAAAAAGAATTTTTGACCCTGAGAAGGTCATTGAAGGTGAAATCTCAAATCTAAAGTCAGATTTGAACTTCTGTAGATGATTTTGAAAAAAAATTACCGCAACAAAAAAACGGAGACCATAACAATATGTCACCACTTCTTGGTGGTGACATAAAAATGGTCAGATTCATATGCACAGGGTAACTTCCTCGGGAAATAACTTTAATGTGATTAAAGAAAGAAGCTAGCAATAATTTGTGGAGTTTATCCTTCTTCTCTAGATGCTCCATCTTAATGTATGAGACACACTTAGAATGCTTTCAATTATATAGATTATGTTCAGACATATTGTGAGAACGCTTGGACGCTACTCCATCTTAATGTATGAGATAGGCGTAAAATGCTCTCTGTGTTGTTTGTTTAATGAACAATGATTGTGTGCTGGTTTACTAAATTAAATATATTGCAGGTTTCAGAGGCAATTATAGACGAAGATGACGAGCAAGCCAATGCTGTACGTAATTTGATGGAAGCTGATGAACAACTGTGAGTATACAATTAAGAAGGGCAAATACCAAATTTTATTTTTATGCAACATGTTAAGTCTCCTCTTCATTAACATGGTGCCCGGTGTAACTTAATCATTTCAAACTGACAAAACATTTCAGATATGACCATTGACCATAATATAACTTTGTTGCTAGTTTTTGTGCCAGATGCTCAAAATGTCAGTTTTGTAAAAAATATCTTAATGCTTCTTCCAGGCATCAATGGTCAAAAATCAACAGCTTAGCTAAAGAAAAGGATAAAATTATGGAGACTGGAGTGGCCAAACAAGGCAAAACTGAGTCCAATTCAGACAGTGATATTGATATAGATGAATATGAAGAATTTCTGGACTGGAGAATAAAAGGGACATAGAGCATAAAGTCATTGTTTTTGTATATTTTTTTATTATTAATACAAAATCATATCATGTACATGATGTATATATATATTGTAAATATAGTCAAAATCAAACAAAAATATCTTATTTTGTATTTTATTGTCAAATATTACACAATTAGAAAGAAAGCATATATAAATTTGAGCAATTACATTCATATGAGCATTTCCAAAGCAAATCAACAAATAAAAGAATCCATTTGAACTAACATCTTAACATATGTGCTACAGTTCTAGCAACAACAAGCATCCATTAACATTGTCAAAGTGAGAAGCTGCTCCCCATTGTTAACTTATGACAGCACTCCTAGATGTGTCAAATCTTAACTGTTACAAGAATGCTTCCTACGGACAGTACCGCTCATAGATAACAAGCATGTAGAATGTTAACTTGCAGGAAGGTGCTGCTCTCTATTGGTGAGTAATGGTATCGCCTACAGATAACACACCTGTAGTATCTGAACTATTGCTAAGGTGGATTCCAAAAGGTATCTGGAAGTGTACAAATATCAGACACAATATTATTAGATGTTGATCAATACTGTGAAACCCTATTACTAAATTTTATTATCACCCTTTTAAAATTGCTGATTTGATGTGAAAACCAATGAATTTCAGCTAGCAAAAGAAACAATTTAGAAGTGTTAAAATATAAGAGTGGAAGTAAAGAATAGGCCAAGAGTAAAATTCTGGATGTAATCTTCAAGAATGTTTCACTTGGAACCTTATTGTCAAATTGATATCTAAATTATGGACGTTTTAAGATGCAGAAATATCCAAATTCATTAGAATTGAAAATGAGATATCCACATCTTCAAACTTATACCAAATAAAATAACCTTGAATGGCAAAGTATTATGAAACAAGAACACAAATGTGTACAAAATGTCCCCACCAATGGGTGATCCCATGAAATGGTTATCCTGAAAATGAGTAGACAAGACTTTACCAACATAATTTGAGGACGGAAAATCCAAAATGGCCACCTTTAAATTTACCCAGAATGCCAAAAATTTAGTCAGTTCTAGATTTTCAAACTAAGAACCACCCCTGAAAATTTTTAATTGATCCGTCACACAGTTAACTAGAAAACATGTAAACAAGACTTTACAGACAAGATTTTAGGATGGAAAATCCAAAATGGCTGCCTTGACATTTACCCAGAATGTCAAAAAACTAATCTGTTCCTAGATTTTCATACTAAGAATCATCCCTGAAAATATGACATTGATCTACCAAATGGTTCACCTGAAAACGCGTAGACAAGACTTTACAGACAAGATTTTAGGACAGAAAATCCAAAATGGCTGCCATGACATTTACACAGAATGCCAAAAAACTAATCAGATGTAGATTTTCACACTAAGAATCATGCCTGAAAATTTGAAATTGATTTAGCCTACCAAACGGTTCACCTAAAAACGCGTAGACAAGACTTTACAGGCAAGATTTTAAGACGGAAAATCCAAAATGGCTGCCTTGAAATTTATCCAGAATGCCAAAAAACTAATCAGATCTAGATTTTCATACTAAGAATCATCCCTAAAAAGTATTATCGTGGGCTAACTTTTCTCAAGACATTCAAAATGGCTGACATGACTGAGCTAACAGGTCCAAAACCTAATCAGATCTAGAATGAAGTGAGCTGAACAAGATGTTAAAGTTTTAAAAGCAACTGTGAAGCCGTTTTTCTTAACGTTTGCAGACAAGGATTTTAGCATTTGACTTCAAAATGGCCGACAGGAAGTAGGTATCGACGTGAAACTTTTTCATCCACATCTGTATGCACTCATAAGTTATCCCTGAAAATTTGAAGGTGATATCTGTAGCGGTTTTGGAGAAAACTCCCGGACGTACGGACAGACGGACAGACAGACGGACGGACGGACAGACAGACGGACGGACGGACGGACAGACAGACGGACGCGCCTAGGCCGACAATATGGCCCCACACTATGTGGTGGGGACATAATAAGGTATTTTAAGGTGCCATTGGAAGTTAACAGGAAATGGCAAAACAGGAAGTGACAAATACCATTTATAGGTCCAGGATGACAATGTTCATGGTTAGAATGACCCTAAACATGATGAAATAACCTTTTTAGCCCTTTGAAAGTGTGACTGAAAAAAAGCTAAAAGTAGGAGCTAGGGAAGGTCACTGAACAGAATCTTTTGAATTTTTCAGAAAATGTGCCCAATATAATGCTCTAACTGATACAATTAGTTGAACTGATACAACTAGTTGAATTGACTGGAGGTCAAACCAGAACTCTGTTATCTTTGTTCAAAAAATGTCTAAAAATGCAAAAACTTTTGTCACTTCCTGTTTCGTCATTTCCTGTTAACTTCCATGGCAGATGGCACCTTAATGTTGTGAGCAAAAATTTGAAAAAAATACATGTAGTGACAAGGATGATATATAAACAGAGCTGTCAAGTGTCCCGCGAATGGCGGGATTATCCCGCGAATTTGATCAAAATTTGGCTAATTCGTGTGTCCCGCAATGTCCTGCGAAGTCCCGCAAATGTCGGCTTTGACCTCCGCGAAATTTTCAAAATTGTAACAATCCCCGAAGCTAAAGGGTACACCCCAGTTGTCCGAAACCCATTACTCCGAAAAATATAGTTCTGATTTACCAGAGAAAGGGGGACCGTACCAAGTTAAGCTTACGCCAGTTTCATGCCATATATTTGGCCAAATTAATGGGATGGACGCATTCTGATGTTTATAGATCTCTCTCTCTTTCTCACTTAGAATTGCACCCATCACATGGTGCTACTAGAATGGCAGGAACGGGGGATTTATTTTACATTGTGATCTTAAAGCGGTTATTAAAACACAATATATATTACGGAACAGTTTATCTTCAATCTCTTTTTATAGCCAAATTAAAATGAAACATTTTGAAACAGATAAAATAAGTTAACGCATAGAACTTTAAACATAAAAGAGTATACAATATTACGTTGTCAAAATATTTCGTCGCATTTAATTTCTTAGTCTCTGTCTCTTATCAAATCGTAAAAGAACAAAGCATTCTAAACCTAATCACTTGGAATTTGTTTTTTCGGCCTTCGTTTCCGGCATTTGTTTTTTTTATTTTCTTCTCCTAAACTGTATTTGCTTGACAATAATCAGAGAAAGTGCGTATAAGTATTTTTGCGTGGCATATTCTGTCACGCAAACAAACGGGTGTGATTTCAATTTCTTGTCTGTCTGAGGACGTATTGGGAACGAGGTAGAATTAAAGAATTTTATGAACGAGTCATGCAAGATACTAGAGCTAGTAAAGTAATTTATTGGATAAGTTAATTTCTGAAGGATCTAGATAAAATATGTTTCAAAACTTTGTGAACACTACATAACTACATTAGGCAGATATAGTATCTTGATATATTTGGCTATCATGTGTTTAAAATACGTTCCTAAAATTATGAAAACGTTAGATGAGAAATATTGCTATTGTACGTTCGAAAAGTATTTGGTTGTATTTTCTAGTTCTCGAGTTACCCATGAACTTTCGTAGGCTAAACATTAAACAATTAACGTATTGACTTAGCCTAATTTTGCAATGATGTTAACGTGATTCGAATGTTATGTTGTCGTGACTCGCAGAGGTTGTGACAAGATTCGCTTAAAGAAATTGTATTTTTAAGATAAGATCCCCTTATTTTCGAACAACTGGGTTTCGGACAACTGTCTGGGTTTCGGAAAACTGCTCGGATTCGGAGAATTGGGTTTCGGACAACTGGGTTGACCCCTATCGGACCCCTATATGAAAAGGTACATTTTAATATATAACACAATGAGGGGTAAATGTTTCATAGTTGGTCACGAACGCCATAAGTGCAAAGTATTGTTCAGAATTTTTGAATTTCGTGATGGATACGGTACTCACAAGTGTGGTTTTTCTTAATAATATTTCTATGCGTATTGTGTGGAATTGTGTTGACATTTACTTAAGTTAAGTGCATTATATGTGATAAATCAGTATCTGAAATTTTAATTTGAGTACTTTTACATTATGCCCCAATCACGCAAATCCCTTGAATGTCCTGCGATATCCCGCAAATTTAGGTGGATGTTTCGCCAATCCTGCAAATTTAGGGCACTTTGTCTAAAGAAATTGCCCCTCTATGAAGTCTCAGGGTGGTTACCCTGTTAACTGTCCCGCAATTAGCGTGTTTGTCCCTCGAATGGTCCCGCGAATTTGATCGAAATTCGACCTATTAGCGCAATCACGCAAATTCCTTAAATGTCCCGCGAAATCCCGCGAATTTAGGCGGATGTCCCGCAAAATCCCGCGAATTTTTGGCACTGGGTCTAAAAAATCTGTCCCGTGAGAAAATCTTTGGGGGTTGACAGTACTGTATAAATTTACAGTGCACTCTCAATCAATCTCTAGTTTTCATTGCCCCTTTAAATAACCAACATAGCAGCACTACTACAAGATATCATTAATAATCATATTGACATTTAATCAAAACATACCTTTTTGCCACGTGTTACAGCCAGTGTTTTAAGTGGTTCTCTACTCCTCTCAGCAGAACTCTGATCCACACAAACCATCTGACATCTGCTGCACTGGCCCATGCTCTGCAATATATACAAGTCATATCCTACCTATCTGTCTCACAGGCTCAAGCAATATGTTATTGTTTTACAGATATACATCATACATACACACAGCCATAGCCATAGCCAGGGGGCTCCAATTTGTTTGAGGATTTGCTAAAATAAAATAAATATTTATTCAACATTTATTCTTTGGCAAACATTTGAGTGCTGGAAGGAGTGACAATTTTTGAGCATTTTTTTAATTTAAAATTCCTTACTCTGTTTTATTATTCATTATATACTTTATATACCCTAGTACCTATTCAAAATTCTAATACTCAGTCAAAATGTGCAATATTGTCTCCTGAGAAATCTGAAAAGTTAAAGCTTATGTGGTAACATACCTTGAAGGAGTGGGTTCCCAGTGTAACATGTGTCCATGTGTCTTCAACATAACCAGTTGGACTGTCAACAATTATGTTTGCCCTGAATCTCTCCACAAGATTATCTAAATCTGCATCAAGAACCAATATTATGTATTAAAGCAACAGTCAAGCCAATGGTGTGTTATGTATGAATGTTGCCTGTGTGTTTAGGTGTTGACACCTATTCCCTCTGGCTGATGAAACAACATTTTAGGGGTTGTGGAGTTAGCTGAACAGTCTAGAGCATAACCATGTTGTCGCCATAACCATGTTGTCTTGAGTTCAAGACACGTGAGCTCTATGCGTTTATTCATTTCTGACAAAATTGCAAAAGGATTGCTATGACAATTCAGAGATCTGAATTAGAGAGGTTGTCTCCAAAGATTCATGCCATATTCAGGTGATTCATGTTAGGCTAAACCACCCTTTTTAGTACATAACTTTTGAAAGTGCATTTTTTTAAAAGGCTGGCACATTGAAATAAAATAATAAAAAAGACCCATTTGTGATACATGTACTTATGAGACTGTGCCTTATTCTTACCTATAATGCAGTTGCCCATTCTTGCTACCTCATTCTGTAGCTCCCTACAACTTGATAAGTTGATCAACAGATACTGGGATTCATTGGCAAGAGACATCTTACTCCCAGAGTCATCAGGCCTCAATTTACATACTCTGGATTCTGATTGGCTTTGGCGTATCAAGCGGCAGCCATCTTGGTTGAGGACACGACTGAGCCATGAAGCAACTTCGTCACCACAATCTACTCCACTCACCCTTGAAATATGGTTACATCATAAACTAAATTTATGTACCAATCACATGAGACTGCAGTTAACTGGAAAATTACAATTTGGAAAACTCATCAGTAGGTTTTACATTTATGCATTTATTTTGAAGTTTATTGTAATTTCTTAAATGCATTTTGGTAAGTGGTCAGATACTTCAGTCAAGGTATCTGTGGTTAAATACCTCAGTCAATTTTAGGTACTTTCCTTTAAATAAGTAAAGAATATATGAATATGTTATTTTTGCAGTTAATACTATCTCTCTATGCGTGATATGCTTTGATGGGTTTTATCATGTTTATGTAGCATCATCTTTGTACCTGTCTCCACAGACTTTGGAGTGGCAAAGTGATGCATCAGTGGTTGTATTACCATGGTATTGTAGAGTTACATCAATCGATGTCATATCTATAATACACAAGATATTTAGGAGGTGGGATATGGAACACGAACAATCTTTAAAATTACAGAAAAATATTTAGTTTAGTTTGAAGATAATTATATTGCCCATATCAAATTTTTTAATTTTGTCTCGAGTCCCACAGTTGGTGGATGTGAGATAAAAGAATGATACATAATATCACATGACTAAATCACATGGACAAGAAATGTGAACAAATCATCTGATTATCAAACTACTATCATAAGTGGCAATCTGTACCTTTATAGTTAAGGCTAAGCAGTCCTCTCTCTAGATCTATGGTTGGCTTTATTAAACTGAGTCTGGCCTCTCTCTTCTGTGAAATACAAGCACCACTAGCATTTACCACCATCCACTGACGGTCATACACAAGTCCAGTTGAACAAATATTCCAGCTGGCTACCTGTAATTTGAAAGATCATGCAACATGTAAAATTATTTGTCCAATATGTAAGATCAGCTTTCTAATTTATAATCAAGATTTGATCCTTTGTTATAAAAATATGAAAAGTAACAATCCTTTCTATTATTGACAAGCGTATATAGTACTCAGCAGCATAAAACATTCAGAAGGGGGAGGGGGCGGGTCACTTGAGAGAAAGCCACCAAACTGGTTGGGTGATATCTAAATAGACTAATGTGTAAGATATTCAGTGACCACCAAAATATGTCTCTCTTTTCACCTACAGTTTAAATACACACCTGAAATGCAGCACAAGACTTGACAGGATAGACAGATATCTGATGAACAGTTCCTATTTCCTTAGGAACTTCAGGTAGAGCTACATTAGGAGTCTGCATATGGCCCTGTTTTATATCTGTTAATGTTACATCATTATCATTACAGCTATTAGCTTCCACTGTTACAGTGATATCATTAGTGCTGTCATCACAGCTGTTTGTCTTTACTGCTAATGTCACAGCATTATCACCACAGCTATTAGATTGGTCAGCTGCAGCCTTAGTTGATTCTGGACCAAGGTCATCATGTGGACTAGGGGTATGGTTTGAACCAATGGCATAGTCCCAGTCAAGAGCATGTTTTGAAGAAAGGTTTTGGTTTAAATTGTGGTCATGGTTTGGACTATTATGACAAGGGCACTGATTTGTATTCAAAGCTGTTAACTGTGCAATATCTCCATGTCCATCGACGAAGCACTCAACAATGAATTTGATCAGTGTCTGTGCATCTTTCAGTGTTGACATGTAGCCAAATGAGACCCGTATTGATCCTGTAGGGAGACCATTGACAATATCTCTGTCATCACCACATACATGGCCAGCCTGGAATAACACAAAAAACATACTTATATTATATCCTTCTTATAGATAGGCCATTAAAATATATATGCAGAGGGTCATGAAGATGAATATATGCCATATTTACCCCCATATTTCATATAGGCATTCATAATTCAGTTCCCATACTCACATTTGAGTTTCTCAATGTAAAAGGCCCCTTAACATTAGCTTTAAGGTATAATGTATTGTTTATTTCAGCAATTTTAATAATTTACGGAACTTAAACTTTTCTACAAGTATGTGTGACAAGTGTATGTCACCGATACCATAAGCTGTCACACTTACCTGAAAGTTGTCCTTGATCGTCTGGTCAGAAAGTGCCAAGTGTTTCTGACAAGCTCCAGTGTTACAGAAGCAACCAGTTCTCAGGTGAATGTCATACAACTGTGCTAGTTTATCTACCTACAAAAATAGGGTAATTGAATGAGTTTTTAGAATAATCCATTTGTGGTCATATACATCGCGATAGCCGCGCCCCCTTTGTCTTTAACCTTCCTCGCAAACGGCAGATAAGAGGGACTCTGGCATACCAGAATGGATCATATACCTTTATGTGACAATTATCTTCATGCTCTGACACTACAGTCAGTGGCAAAAATCAATGGAAATGATCCCTCAGCAGACTATATTTTTGCAAATTGATTAATAAGTTGATTAATGCTTTTTGAAGCAATACACATGTAGAGGCAAAATAATGACACCTTTCTAAACCTTTCTAAGTAATATCAATTCATACAAAAGTATCATATGTTTTTTACAGCGTCAATTCAAACTTTTTTTCTAAATCAATTCCTCTTTTTTACTTGAGGAGAATTGTCATCTTAAAAACATTTTAAAAATAGGTTTCCTAGATGTTCTGGTGTCCAGAAACAAGAATATTATTCCTGACCTTAGAATTGAATAATGCTGCATTGACATCAATGAAGACAATTAATTAATTAATTTTCAAAAGATCTGTACCTCTGCAAAGCCAATATACTCTCCATTTGGTCTCAGTAAATTGAAGTTGACTATTGGTCCTTGAGTAGTGACATCACGGTATTCAGTATCACAATATAGCCTAGCAACAGGACATTGGTTACTATGGCGAAGGTTGCTAAGGACTGTATATGTATACCAGGCAAGGTGAAAAGTGTGCTTGGGAACATTTGTAGATCCTGAAAATATAAGCCAATTTTTTCATGTCAATCTTAATATGTTTTAAGGCAATTCAATAAGCTCAGTATATCAAGTAAAATTGTACTGCATTTAAAGGCAATCATAGTTCAATTCTTTCATTTCTTTTAAGAGAAAAGTTACAAGTGCCAAGAGCTGAAGAGAGGAGAGATGCACCTGTCTCCATGGCAACAATAGTTGATTCTATGCAGGATTCTCTATGTGGACAGGTGCAGTAAGATGCTACAGGTTCAGGAAATAATCAATCACCTAACATGTCTAATATATATCATATATATTTAACATTTCCTGAACCTGTTACATGTATATTAAAGGGGCAACAAGGAATTTAGAGAGAAAATTCGAATTTTTTCAATTTTTTCCAAGTTATCAGGTCAATATTTGGCTTAACATCTTCTTTGACATACCAATTTTCTTAAAATGTAAGGATAAACTATCAATTTCAGCATTAATAAGTGTAAATTCAGTTCAAAGCTTCAATAAAGGGAGTCCCACTTATAGATTTTTAAGATTCACCATGTTTCATGAGGAATATCAGCTGAAATAATGTTCATCCAGGGGGTTTCTTTGTCGATAATAAAAATATATTTTAGTCTTGATGAAATATCCAAACTTAAATATATTTTGACACTGGCCGATGAACGTTAAATGGCCCCCCTGCACTAATTGTTGCACCTTTAAATTAATATTACACATATATTTCAATAAACATGTGCCAGATTCGGGAAATAATAGATCACCTCAAATGTCTAATATATATTACATGGTCAACATTTTCAATAATTTACAATTACTGCACTTTTAGAGGTATACTGCATCAATAAGTTGTGAATAACTGGAATAATTCTTAAGAAATTATATGTACCTTTAAAAAACAATTGTTAAATAATAATTTGTGATTACATAGGTGTTACATTTTCCACTATGGCTAGAAAATATGAAAGATCTAAGTCAAGGGTACAAAGATAATCTTATATTTTTTGTTTGGCCTTCAAGAAGGTGCCAAATTACCTTCCAAAATCTAAATTTAATCATGCTTGTTATAATGTTATTCTACATTCACCCTGCACTTGTCCAATGCTATCCATACACATTGCACACATGTGCATTTACCATCAGGTGGATAATTCAAAGAATGATATTTTCTAAAGAGCCAGTTGTCCATGCACAGGTGAACATTCTATAATGAATCCTGGCACATGATATAATTCTTCAAGGAATTCAGGAGGTTGGGCCAAAGAAATGCTCGGCTGCGTATAATATTTTCCTAATTATTTCAAAGTTACTATGGTAGTCATACTCATATGTCATATGATGTGTTTGAACTATTCTAGTACAAAAATATCATTATTGTTTGTCAATTTTCACAGGATATCCTCTGTATAGATTTATACAATACGTGTAAAGCATTGCCTGCTATATATAAGGCTATGTAGACCTTCTAGTGAACGTTTTGAAACATGACAAATGAAAGATTAAAAAAAATCATTTTTATTGACGTCAGATATTACAGAGTTATATGACCTCAGATAGAGAAGTTAATAAGAATAAATCCTTTCATTCAAAGTAAGATATCAAGAAATTGAACTTTGAAATTCAGATCAGTTGATTTTTTATTAAAATTTTCTTCTCTCAGAATGTTCAACCAAAGTTCAGTGATATTGTTATATCAATGAGAATGGATCATATTTGGGGAAGTGATCTTTATTTGGGATTACCAAAGAGATGATCTATAATATATGAAATGATTAAACAAGAAACAACAAAAAGTTGGTTTGGAGATAAGGTCAATACAATGATGTATCACAAATTAATTAATTGATTAAGAGGAAGGAAGTATAGTTTGTTTGGACATCAAACTTTAAATGGATGTGAAGCAAGAAATGTTGTAATACACTTAGGGAATTTGGAATGAGGTGCAATCGAAAATGTAATTTATTACATTTTGGATCAGCATTAATTTGAAATTATAACCTTGTCTCTTATTTTTCTTTTCTACTTTATTCATTTTCATTTTGTTTCAGCAACCTCTCCATTTCTAGTCTCTTGTCTCAAATTGCTGTTCGGAACTTGCTTGTTGCATTATATAAACATAAGAAAGCGTATGTTGCAGATTACTGAATATTTATAGTATATTTTACCAGTTGTTTTAGAGTACATTTTATTTGCACACCAAAAGTGCAACAACATGTTTACAATTATGTAAGTTATTATGTAAGGCCTAAAACAACTGGGCAGATATGCGACAAGATTTTAATATGTAGTCATGTCAGTCCAACCAAGTACCAAACAGTAAAATCGGGAACATTTCATATAAGCAGTGGTAGTATAACAACTTGGCCGTGCATGTATAAAATATTTTTGTTACCTAGAACAAAATGTACTTATGATCTTCCATATTAATATCCTTCACAGTAAAATTTAAGAGTACATCTACATTTATATGATGTCTGGTGTAAGAAATATTCCACAGCCTAAAATATGGAGTATTAATAATATGTTTGCCAGATATGTTCACAATTTTCTTGTTCTTAAATAATGAGATTTTATGTACTTGAGCTACACATGTGTCGATACATCTTCATCATGTGAACTTCTTATATCTTTCAGATTGATTGGAATCACGTATCATATCACACTAACTACATAGTTACACTCAGACAGTCTTGATGCTGGACAGAAATTGAACGTTTGAGGTAAAATAATCCATAGTGGGAAGGGTGGGTGGAGAAATATTGAGCAATATTTACAATTCAAATGTACTAAATGTGTCTCAGCCAATCAGCTTTAGTGCATTAATTCAAGTTATTTGGTCAATATTGAACAGGAACATTATTTCCAGTGCATTATGGTTTCATAAAGAACAGCAGTGACATTATTGATAAAAAAGTGATGTCATCGTTAGTGTACATGTGCATTTATGGCTTCATAAAGAACTTGACAATGTCATATTTTATAAAATAATAATTTGTATATTTGTATTGTTATTATAGAACCCGGTATCATTCTTTATTAAATTTTAAACCATTCATGCATTACATGTATCAATTTTTGACTTGAGAGGCTGACCTGGAAATGAAGTGACAGTATTGATCACTGGAACTGTCTAAACCTACCACACAGCTTCAAACACTGCAGGTACAAAAGCACAGTATACAAAGAACAGTAAATGTGCTTCCTGATTGGTTGAGAATATTTAGGCATGGTTGAATTAAGATGCAAAATGCAGTCTAAATATGTGCAATAATTTCATCAGAATAATAATTGAATAAATGTCCAAATTTACAAATATATGAGCAAATGGACGTTATAATCTATGTTTTTACAACTAAGTGTATCAAGCATAGACAATTGCTGGAATTACACATGGCATTTTACAAAAGCTTCTTCAGTTTTAACCAGGTTTAAGAATTAGGTGTAATCACGATTGCGGTTTTACAAAAGCGCTTTTCTAAAACTCCAAGAACCCTTGTCACTAGTAAACAGCATAAGTCGTTAGGCGCTTTAAGTGAGCAGTGTATATACCGATCGATTTTTGTAAGACGCCTTACCCGGGTTTTTAATAGTTTTTAACATTTGCCCGAAACGAAATAAGACCTCCCATAAAGTAAGCCTGTCTGGCCGCTCGTCTAGTTTTTGCCAAGATCTTTTCAAGATGTGCTCATGCCGACCAAAGGATGAGTTGATTTTCAAAAATAATAAAAACATTTGATACATGATGAGACATCCAGTCACGCTGCTATCTGGCTATATCTAAATTGAAAAATGGATGATGGTCGCCAGGTCACATCGAAATCAAGTGTTATCTTCAGAGAATATGTACATATTTTTCTTTTACCTTTTTACTATGTTTTCTCATAATTAATAAAAGATAAATAAAAATTATGCAATGTCATGCATTTTTCATCAAATTATGGAAGATCAGTTTTGTCTTTAATTAGATGCAAAAAGAATACATTTACAGGAGATGTACACATACATGTATGCTGGATATTATCCATAACTACATTGTTAAAAGTGCACGAAAGGTGTTTTAGAAAAAAAAGGTGTTATTCCAAAATATAATTCCTAAGACGCTTTAGAAATGTTGGTGTAATCAGAATGGCGATTTTGTAAAGCGCCTTCCACTAAAACGTTTTAGCGGATTTTGTGGTGTAATTCCAGCAATTAAATTAGAACGCTGTGTCAAAATAATTTTGAAATTCAAAAATTGCTCTTCCTTATTCATTGCTTTAGTGCGTTTATCAATGTCAATTTGCTCTTTATGTCACAATAAAGGGTTAAAAATGAGTTAGGTGTTAACTTTCAAATGGTACATTACAGGAAAAAACATCACAACTAACCTGTGAACATATTTAGAGTATCAAATCCATGTCGCAATGCAATAATATCCAGAAATGAAACTGTCCCATCCTCAAATCTAAAAATAGAAAGAAGTTTGCATAATATTAGAGTCGTAACCATCCAATGTAGGGCAACTACATGAATTAAATGAATTGATCCATTCATTTCATACCTAAAGAGCCAGTGGAATGCAATGGCATATAAGTTAAGATTAAAAAAAACAGGAATAGTTCTTTATTCAATGCATTTCTATAAATCATCCAGCTTTAAAATGGTGTATATTATGTGAAACCAATAATATTAATACAACAATTTATACAACATTTGGTGTTGCTTTCTGGTTAAAATATGGGTCATTTAAATATAAATCTTTCAGAAACCCCCACAAACATTGTTTAATACTCCCCAACTGGAACATAACCTCAAGTCCAGTCATAAAATATACTCAAATATGCATGCAGTGTTCTTTGGCAGGAAGTGCTGTACATTTTGTACATTTCTTCTCTGTGTTTTATGATGTCTTTTGTGTACTAAACCTTACCAAGAGCCTGAATTTGCCTAAATCTTTTATTAAGTCAAGGAAATCAATTACTCTTTGATCTAGATTGATGAATGCAATCACAATATGTTGTCAGCAACTCAAAACACTATAATTCATAGGGGATCAAATTGATATAATTCATTGAATGGTTCTTTCAATTGAAAACACACGCAAACGCCTCACATCGAATTGATATGGCGATAAAATGTTTTTTTCATCAATCTCTCTGAAATTCAGAAAAGTAATCCAAAACATAGTTCCTGGTAATCTGATGAATTTAGATTTTTGATATTCAAATTATCTCTATCATACCATTAAAGCTGTTTGAAAATTTTGAAATTTGCAGTAAAATTAAAATGCAATAGTTGATGGCTTGGACTAATTTGACACTAAAAATAATTCTGTATAACGATACATATGATGCACGGGCATAGCCAGGGGATGGGATGGGTGTGATCACACCCCTCCCCACCCCCACAAAGAAAGAAAAAAGAAATTTTGTAAAAAAATTTGAAAAAACTTTAAAAAGGTATAGTTTGAAATGCTTAAAATACACCATATACAATGTAAATTTTATAAGACTTCAGGGAGTAAACCCCGTATCCCCCTTTTCGGGGCTCATTTCACTCGCAGTGATACAAACTCAAAAATTCGCACCCCACTTGACAATTCCTAGCTACGCCCCTTTGGTGTTCACATAAAAACTCAAAAAACACCATGGAAGCTATCAAAACTGTGAAATTATCTGTAATATGCAGAGATTAATATAACTAGACAATGGTGTATTAAGATAGTGTTCCCTCCTTTTGAGTATGTCATGTTCAAGGCATCTATCAACATATTACTGCAGGTGAGGGCAGCTTAAAAGTCTGCCATGTCCTGCCATCTCATCACCTAAGCGATGCTTTTTCATTTTTCTAATTAAACAAAAATGTGAGATAGCGATACCTCATTAATAAACTCAATAAAATGCAATATAGGCATACATTACATAAATTTTGCGCACCTGTCTGATATATTTTTCCTCATGTTATGAAACCTCTGGTCGGTTAGGGCTACATTTACTGTACCCCCTCCAAAGTAACGCCTCTGTAGCACATGTTCGCTTGCATTCTTCACAAGTAGAGCACCTACAAGCAAACATCAATAATTAGTCCTACCCTCTGCAAGAATCAATGACTTCACCATACTGTTATATTATTAATGAACAACTGAACTCGCCAATTTTTTATAATTGATGAACCTCTGAACCTCGGCAAAGTAGGAGGGAAATTAGCGCAACAGATTTCGGACAGTCATATGTTGGATTTTGGCTATTTTCTGAGGATTTAAACAGGTGGCAAATGCATTACCTAAAGGAAAAGCACTTCTAGAGATGATAAAATAATTTCGACTTTGAGACAGGATAGATGCAAATAACAAATCCACATGTTTTTTCTGAAATGTTTTCCTGATTTTCAACCCCTTCCACTCCAGTTTTTATATTTTTTCTTGCATAAATATATTGCGTTTTGACACACAGTTAACCCCTTTAGAGGAATAAGTGATTCCTTTTAGATAAAGTGGAAAACAATATTTCCCATGTTATTTTCCCATAGGGAAAACTCATGCAATCCATTGCTTTCAGCTAATTTTGGTCCTCCATAATAGATATCTTTAAAACCCCTGTAGGAATTACTTATTCCTTAAAAGTGGTTAACTGTGTGTCAAAACATAACATATTGATGCAACAAAAATTAAAAAAGCAGGGGTGGAAGGGGTTGAAAGTCAGAACAACATTTCAAAAAAAACATTGTGGATGGGTTGTTTGCACCTCCCCTGTATCAGAGTCGAAATTATTTTATCATCTCTATGAGTGCTTTTCCTGGAGGTAATGCATTGATCTAACATATGCACCTGTTTAAATCCTCAGAGAATAGCCAAAGTCCAACATATGACTATTCGAAATCTGTTGCACTAATTTCCCTCCTCCTTTCTGTTATTCATGGAAATCTGAACTCATTAATTTTGGGATCTATTGAAGTGAATAATAAACATATTCATCACTCTGGTTTAATGCCAAATTGTAAAATCAGGTATCCTAGTCAGAGAGCAGTGATTTACTCCATTGGCTCAGGGTAATCAACAGTCAATAATAAACATTAAATCAGTGCCTTTTAATAATCTTGCTCTTAAGGTAACATTACTTCACCAATAGCCTCAGTGGCAAGCAATTAGTTTAATAATTGCCTGTGTGAATAATTAATGATTGTTTTGTCTTTAGATTGTTTATCTATACATTAATGTTGATTTTCCCTGTGGGATTTGTAACCTAGGAGGGCAATCAATAATAACATCACTATAGACATCATTCTGCTATTTCAGATTTTACAACATTACTTGTTTTTTACTTCATGTATAATTGTACTATAATGCAGCATAAGTAAATGTATGATATCAATGAGGCAATAAGTGAAAAGATTTGAGTTTTTGATGTGCTAATAATATTACAAGAAAATTGGAAATTATTAGAGTTACGAGCAATATTTTGTTTTGGTTTTGAAAGGATGAAGCCTTTATAAGACTTGACTATTTGTGTAAGAAGAGCTAATAAAAAGTTTATTCTGCAGTATTGTGTTACTCAAGTCTACAGTTTGGCAAAAATATTAGGGAGAAAATGTAAATTTTGAAATGATGATTTAGAAATGAAAACTTAGAAGAATTGTAAAAATATAATTTTTGGGGAAAATGTGAATATACCTTAATTCAATTACCTATTCCTGTTGGAAATCCAAATATCTTATAGAAAGAGAGGGTAACAAAGTCGGGCTTATGTTCACTCAAGTCCAAAGTTGACGTAGTCAGGAAGGAGGCTGCGTCAAGGAGACAATACCATTTCCCAGAGGACACTGCACCCAGACGGCCATCTTGAATATCTTTTATCCAAGACAATGGATATTTTCTTCCAGAGAAATTGCACTGTGCTGGATATACAAATAGATTATTCCCATATTTTGCAGTAGTATTATCCCCAATCGATTTTGGACCCATGTTTCCTTTCATGGTTTGATTAAGATTTGATTGTATACTAGATTCACTGAGACATACAAATGATGCACCATTGTGTATAGCAAGCTCTCTCATTCCTACCACAGAGGTATGACTAGTATCAATGCAACTAAAGACTCCATATTTAAAAGCGTTACATTCTTTATCCCGATCCTCAGACTTAAAAGCACTGTTTGAATCCACATGTGATATGGAAGTATCATTTGTAGTGTCATTTTGTCCATAATCATGAGTTGACTTGGCAACTCCATGTTCTTGAGTCAACTTGACCTGAGTTGACTTGGTAACTTCCTCTGCCTGACCAGTTTTTTGGCTATATTGAAATGATTCTGCCACAAGTTTCAAAGCTGCAGTACATCCTGATGTGAATATCACTGAATATTCCTTGTCATTTGTCCTCAAATATTGTAAGATCCTGTAAAAAGAAATCGTTAGATTTCATATGAACACAAAATCTTCATCAATCAGTACCATATAATTGAATTAAAAAAACAGAAATGTTTGAAACCATGAAGAAGAAGGTCATGCACATATGGAAGGTAGGTTACTAACTGGATGAGAAGTCTGTGAGGGGAGAGGTAATGATGAAGAAGGCAGGGAGAGTTCTCCATGGGGGTGTGGGTTGGGAAAAGCAATGCCTCTGAGCTTGTCTCTTTGATGACTAATAGGAGCTTGGTCTCAGACTGGGGTCTCAGGTAGGTTTAGGTTTACTGCACGATTGTAATACTGGAGCAGGGGCCATGGTCAGGAAAGTTCATAACATATGTGATATTAAACAAGAGGATGTTTCCAGGGTGAAGGACAGATGGTTGAAAAGGAAATCAGGTGAGGTGGTGGGACCAATAGGTATTCATAGGTTAATAACTTCTAATGCATACCAACCCATCCTCTGTGTTCTATCATCTATTACATTCTGAAAATATACTGACGGTTCTGCTTCAACCTGCTGCATTTAATTCACCATCATTATGCTCTAGATGGTTTGCTTACATTCCTAATGTAATTATTGAGTGCTATTTTGGGTGGAGGAGTCATATTAGCCACAATTATATGATTAATGTGCACTGTTTGTTTGTGCAAGGTATTGAGACGAGACTCCATATTTGGGAGGAGAAAGATTATAGCTGAACAATTTGATGAACCTGTTCCTATCCCGGATTCTATAAGAGGAAACACAACAAACATTTAGTCTTCACCTCAAGTTATATAATTTATGAACTAATGCAATAGACTCATGCCAGATAATTAACCCACTAATTGGGGCCCTAAAGAGTTTTGGGGGCCACCCTTCCCACCAAGATCAGCCAGTGAATGGTCTGAATACCTGACCGGGCCAAGGAGCAGGAAAGAAAGGAAACATTGTTAGTGACTGAGATCTGGAAATTCATCAAAAACAATCTGTTAAAACTGAATGAATGTTTGTCAAAACCACAAAAAAGCAACTTAAATTTCGAAAATGCCGAGGGTGCCAACAATTCTCATACAAGGCATTAACATGACAAAATGTCACCACCTAGTTGCTCACAATATTATGAGTTCAAACTTAAGTCAGATTTGAATTTCTGAGAACTTGTAAAGTCAAATTTGAACTTCTGAAAAGATGTAGATGATTTTGAAAAAAAAATTTGGTCAATTTGAAGCAAGTTGAAAACAGACCTTTTTGACCTTTTTTGACCTTGAGAAGGTCATTAAAGGTCAAATGTCAAATCTAAAGTCAGATTTGAATTTCTGAGAACATGTAGATGATTTTGAAAAAAAAATTAGTCAATTTGAAGCAAGTTGAAAAAAGACCTTTTTGACCTTTTTTGACCTTGAGAAGGTCATTGAAGGTCAAATGTCAAATCTTAAGTCAAATCTAAAGTCATATTTGAATTTCTGAGAACATGTAGATTATTTTGAAAAAAATTTAGTCAATTTGAAGCAAGATGAAAAAATACCTTTTTGACCTTTTTTGACATTGAGAAGGTCATTGAAGGTCAAGTGTCAAATCTAAAGTCAGATTTGAATTTCTGAGAACATGTAGATGATTTTGAAAAAAAAATTTAGTCAATTTGAAGCAAGTTGAAAAAAGACCTTTTTGACCTTTTTTGACTTTGAGAAGGTCATTGAAGGTCAAATGTCAAATCTTAAGTCAAATCTAAAGTCAGATTTGAATTTCTGAGAACACGTAGATAATTTTGAAAATTTTTTTTAGTCAATTTGAAGCAAGTTGAAAACAGACCTTTTTGACCTTTTTTGACCTTGAGAAGGTCATTAAAGGTCAAATGTCAAATCTAAAGTCAGATTTGAATTTCTGAGAACATGTAGATGATTTTGAAAAAAAAAATTAGTCAATTTGAAGCAAGTTGAAAAAAGACCTTTTTGACCTTTTTTGACCTTGAGAAGGTCATTAAAGGTCAAATGTCAAATCTAAAGTCATATTTGAATTTCTGAAAAGATGTAGATGATTTTGAAAAAAAATTTAGTCAATTTGAAGCAAGATGAAAAAATACCTTTTTGACCTTTTTTGACCTTGAGAAGGTCATTGAAGGTCAAATGTCAAATCTAAAGTCAGATTTGAATTTCTGAGAACATGTAGTTGATTTTGAAAAAAAAATTTAGTCAATTTGAAGCAAGTTGAAAAAAGACCTTTTTGACCTTTTTTGACTTTGAGAAGGTCATTGAAGGTCAAATGTCAAATCTTAAGTCAAATCTAAAGTCAGATTTGAATTTCTGAGAACACGTAGATGATTTTGAAAATTTTTTTTAGTCAATTTGAAGCAAGTTGAAAACAGACCTTTTTTAACCTTGAGAAGGTCATTGAAGGTCAAATGTCAAATCTTAAGTCAAATCTTAAGTCAGATTTGAATTTCTGAGAACACGTAGATGATTTTGAAAAAAAATTTAGTCAATTTGAAGCAAGTTGAAAACAGACCTTTTTGACCTTTTTTGACCTTGAGAAGGTCATTGAAGGTCAAATGTCAAATCTAAAGTCAGATTTGAAGGTCAAATGTCAAATCTAAAGTCAGATTTGAATTTCTGAGAACATGTAGATGATTTTGAAAAAAAATTTAGTCAATGTGAAGCAAGTTGAAAAAATACCTTTTTGACCTTGAGAAGGTCATTGAAGGTCAAATGTCAAATCTAAAGTCAGATTTGAACTTCTGAGAACATGTAGATGATTTAGAAAAAAATTGAAGTCAGTCTAAACAGTATTTGTTAAGTTATAGGAAGTTGTAAGAAATTGTTACAGACGCCGGACGGCAACCGCCGGACACCAACCACCAACCGCCGGACACCAACCACCAACCGCCGGACGCCAACCGCCGTCGCAAAAAAACGGAGACCATAACAATATGTCACCACTTTAGGTGGTGACATAATAATAAAGTTAAAGGAGGGAGAGGGCATTAAATAGTTAACTAGTTAGCTCACACATATTTTCCTTAAATGTGTTCAAAATATTGTATATTCTGCTGCTGTTATTCAAATGCTTATAAATACTATTAGTATAAAATAAGCATGCAGATTCTAAAAAAAGTTTATAAATGGCCGTGTCATTTTTTATTATACCTGTTCAGGAAATATGTTCTGATATAAACCTAGAAACTACTTTTATAGAAATATCTACTATATTTGGCAAAGACAAATGCTGTTTCAGTACAGTTCTACTTTAAAGAGGCAATATGATAGATATAACATTTTAATGCATAGTAATATGAAGTATCTATATTCAAATAACAATTAATTGAGATTACAAATATTTTTTACCCATCTGAGAATTGAAAAAAAAATTGATATGTTTAAAATCAAATAAAAAAACATCAAATATATTCAATAAATAATTAATTAAACTATAAAAAATATAGTTGTCACAAAAAGAATTTATGTAAGAAATGAATATGTATGTATGAATATGAAATGAATATATATGAATACATATCATGTTTTTTGTTTCTCCTGATATTGAATGATGCAGTACCAGAACAGTACAATAAAATTATCAACTGATATGTGGCTAATATGAGACATCAAACTAACACATGCCTTCGGTAACCTAGTATACATTCCAATGCATGTCATGGGCATATGTTTCTACACTGACCAACATTTTTTGTTTTCTTTAATTTGCACGTGCTACCATCTGGTAATGCACCTGCCTCTGGTAATAGACATAGAACTGTCAAAGAGTCATGTTTAAGCAACAGTTTACTTTCCTTACATTAACAAAACAATTGTGTCATGAACAAATAAATAATGCATCAAGCTGTTGTGCCATAAATTATTGATTAATAGGATGAGGCCTGATGAAGCACTGTTCACAAATATCATATAAAAATGGACCAGGTTCACAATTATTAAACCTATTTGTTAGTGATTTTTTAAGTACTAGTAGAAGCAAGTTTGTGAATATTTACTGCTCCATAAAACATTTTGATTTATTCTCAGCAAGGGGGTTATATTAACTTGGACTATGATATTCATGTAGTTAATGACCCCTCCACCCACAAACCTACTGTACCTATCAATGATAAGGAAGAAGATGGAGTGAGAACACATGTTACCAGGCCAGTAGTCCAATATTTAAAACAAAGTAAGAAAACGAACACATAAATAAATAATTGGGGCATCACTGAAATAGATTCTTCCAGCATCCACATCAGGTTCACTTTAGACAATGTTAAATTCCACAACACAGTTATTGAACAAGAAGAGAACAAATATGCCAAGATTATCCAAAATAAATGTTCCAGATATATGCCTTGTTTTCTGTTCTGTATTTAATCAAACGGGAAATAACATTACACAATGTCCTCATGCCTGATGCTATGAATTTAATCCTTAGATAAAAAATAAAAATCTACAAATTCAAAAAACTTGGGGCTACATCAGGGGGCATGAATTTGTCCGGATGAATTTTATCAGGAGGATAAATTTTGGGACTTTTGATCTAGATAAATATCTGGTGAATCGGTACGATCCTAGGATTTTTGAAGAATCTCTGAGATTTATCCGAATATACTAGGAGAAATAATCTTCATTTATGTCATTAATATTCAAAATTCATATTCAAAAATGTGACTTCTAGGTCAGGGAGTTTCCCCAAAGACCACATGTTGTAAAATCACAAAAAGTGAAATATCTTTTCTTGCGTTGGGCAGATAATATTTTCTTTTACTGGACATATTTTCATTTGTATAATTATCAGACACATGATATTATATAAAAATTGATCCATTTAAACTGATTATGTTCAAGTTTAAGGGAACTTTCTTATATACATGTACCTGCCAAGTTAATTGACCCGAACAAGCCACCTGGTGGTGAAACTGATAACTACTTAATCACATCTGGGTAATTACATTGGAAATTAAATTATTTTTTTCTGAAAATTAATTAACCTATGTAGGTGGATTGAGACTAGGATGAGATTTATATTCAACGGTGTTAGGATAATTTCAAGAATTAATCTAAAATGAAACATTACTATTATTAGATATTTATCCGGATCAGATTTGTACAAACTCCCAGCCCTGGAGGATATAGAATGGTATGAATGATTAAGTTATGCACTTTTATTTGCTAAGCTGGAATGTCTGGAAAGGTTTTTTATTGAGCGTGACAAAACTCAGCAAAGTTAATGCGTTGTTAGTACATTTCAGTAAGATCTGGTTCTTCCTGGGATACATGTACACAGACATCCGAAATCTTGTAATGGTGTTGTCAGATGTCAAAATCAATAAACATAATTACACTTTATATCAATGTCTGTGTAGTTCTGGCAGGTTTCACTTTAAAAAAAGAATAACAATACTGATTATATGCTTACTGATTAAAGCTCCCTTAAATAAAATGCACAGGATTCTAGAGATAATATTTTTCAAGTATGTCTTCAATCATTATATTATCTTTTTTATGCCCCCATCTCAATTAAATCTTCTGTTTTTGGAAGAAAAGACAAACCCACCTTGATTACTGATAGAGGTTTGATACTCATTGGTATTTTTTTTAAAATGTACAATGTCAGTTGACTTAAACTAGCACATAGTTCATTAAACAGATCTTTTCACCACATATCAAATGTTTCAAGGTCTGTGTTATGAAATGCTCTTAGGGCAGCAGGAGGAATGCACTGACTGACTGAGGGGGAGTTGTCTATTAAAACATATGCTAATCTTGTCCTTGAGGAACCCCCTCCCCCACTAACATTTATTTTCCCATGTCACTGACCCATGCCATATGTGAAATTATGTCAGTAGAGTTAATACAAAATCAACAGAAATAATAACTCAATGGTACATGCCTTTTCTGTTACTTTCTATTTTATGCAATTTTGACGGAAATGGGTTTTTGAACAAGTTAGCTGACGCACCAAAAGTTCACAATAAAAATCTTAAAACAATTGAGAAAAACAGGCGCTACAGAAAAGAAAAATATGCAAATAAGCAGAACAAATGTTGAATCTTCTGAGGGGGCTTCTAGCCTAACCTGTTTGAATCTCGTGAAACAGGTGTATGGTACACTCCATGCATTCATTCACATGTAGCCTGGCCAATGGAACCAGAGGCTGTATATATCATAACTGGTTCCCTTCCACGTGTATTAACAACACTGTCTCACTGATAGCTAGTTGCGCATCAGCTACTCACTCATCTGAGTCTACAATTCAATCATAAATTGATTCACCTGCCCTGTTTACTGATTTAAGACGTTAAGGACATTATACTAAAGGACAACATTTGAGTCTCCTGACCAAGTGAGTATAAAACATATTTATCTTATTAATATGTATTTTTATTTTCAGATGGACTTATCTTTTCAGATAATCTTACTGTCAAAATGTTACAAATATATGTCAAATTTAGATATTTTTAATAATAAAGGATAACAGTAACTGCCTAGTTTCAGGGATATATATTGTACATATGGTTTATGATACGGTTTTATGTATTTATGTGATAGAGCCTAAGTCGGTTGATTGTTGAATCAGTTTGTCAGACTATGGAAGCAGACTTTGTGAATTGGTCCCAAACAACCAGAGTTCTCATATTCTAATTGAAAATATTTAAAGGCCTTTGTTTCCACGGCAATTGTTTGAACTAATGAAAGTGCATAATGTTGAAAAAATATCAAAAATAATTTGAAAATGCTTTGCTGTGAGTACATGTACCTTATCATTTAGTTTAAATTTGTATATTCTCTTATTTTAGCTGAATATTTCACTGGGGACCTCTGGAACAACATAAGATTCCAATTCATTGAGATGCCCGACTTAAGCAATAAATTACACCATTACATACTGCATACATCCCAAGCTTTTTGTGTTGATAAAATTTTAAAAATTGGTTGAGAAATAAGCAAGAAATTAACTTTAAAAGGTCAGTTTTTATTGAAACCAATATCTAAAACGTTAAATACTACTTTTCAAACTAGACAACATTGCCTTAATTTGAAAGTTTGGCATATTTATACGATAGAATTTTTCATAATAAATTTTGATATCAATTAAATTATGCCATCTTCTTGATATCATGGTGAACCCTCATAACCTCACAAAATTTTTAAAATGCTACAAAATGTAATAACTTATATGCATAAAAATGGAGTGAAATGGTTGAGAGATAAAGAACATTTCCTTGATCTACCCAATGGAGTCTAGAGTGTAATGTGTTTTATTGTATATAGTTTGGGATTTGATGGTCTAAAATCTAAATATTTGTTGTCAAAATGGAGGGAAATTAAATTTTTGAAAATTTAAAGATGACAAGTAATATTTTTCAGAAAATATTACCATGGGCTTTCAATATCTGTCTATCAATTTTTAAAAATCAGAAAATACCATGTACAGTAAACAACACAACGCAACTGATAAAATAAAAATTGACAGCTTATTATATACACTTACAAGATAACATGGCTCTACGGTCCATTTCACTGTTTTATTAACTCAGTAAAACCTAGAAAAAAAGAAATCAAAAGACCATTGTGCAATTAATAATATATGGAAAAATATATTCATATCATACAAGAATGTCATATGGATTGCTTTTAGTTTGGCTAATAAAATGTGTGGCCTCTTATATTTTGATGCTTCTCTGCCATGTTATTTTCGAAAATTAAACATAGCTGAAACTACAAGAGGCCACAGGCTTATTGCAAAAAACAAAATAATCTGAAATATACAAATGTCATTTGTGTACAATATGAATATATTTTTTCATATAATTGAACAAATGTGTTTTGATTTCTTATTTTTTAACTGAGTCAATAAAACAGTGAAATGGACTTTAGTTGATTATTACCACAAAGGTGACTAGCTTAACATAGATATTGCATTAATAGTTAATTATGCCTCCTCTTTTTTATGTTGTAAAGAGTGTCACTAATCAGTGACTGAGAACATAAGAATCTGTTCAATCAAAATGCATGTTTAGTAGCTTGCAAACCTGCTATGACAGTAGTAAATATTTTTTGATTTCAAAATTTAGGCTACAATTTTTTAATTCAAAGGTGGTGAAAATATAATTTTATGAAAAAGTATACGATGTAATATATTTGGACTCTGAAGATTGCATTCTGCCAGTAGTCATTATATATGACACATTGTAAGTTTGTATTATGACATACCTGTAGCGGATCTGGTCGATTGTATCTGAGGTGAGTTTACTACTTGGGTTTGAACTATGGGGATTCCCATACACATTCTGCAGCAGGTCTTGGTGGTGTTTCTCTATATGGGACTTAGAATATAAGGTAGCACCTGAATGGTCAAGATAGGTCAAATCTGAAAAAAGAATAATCATAATCATTTCATATTGGTCATTTTAACATATTTTCTTATAGTGGATAAGAAAATATGATTAAAAAATCCATGAGGATTCAACTTTCAATGCCACTATACTTTGGTCCAAAAATAAGTTTTTGTCAACTAGCTGCTCTACCACAGTAGTACTTACCATTACTACCTGATACTTCAAATAATTATCTTGCAAGTAAAAAAGTACATGTATGCTGATATGCCATCTATCAACAAAATGTAAAGCTGTCTTTACAGAAGAATATATAGATGATACTTCAGTCTTATACCCAGACATTATGATACATGTATGTATTAGAAATTTTGTAACACACTTATGTTTATAACTTATAAAGTTTGTATACTGTCATCATTTATCACGACTTGTAATCAGGTGATTTATGCTAGAAAATTCATGCATGCATCATGCAAATTTTAAAGTCAACCTTTTTGCGATAAACTAATAAGCAGTGGAGGTCTACACAACCTGAAAAAATGTACATCCAAAATCAGGATAATCCGAACACCTCCCAATCTGAACACTTATTTGGTCCCATTTTTCCTCCCATTACCTCTCATGTTAAAAAAAATGAAGTATGAACACCTCCCAGTTTGAACAATAAACAGTGATATTTGAAATTAACCTGACTAACCTGAATACATCTCACAAAATATCACATGTTTCATACAAATAGTTCAAATATTTCAAAGTTTAACACTAATTTGTCAATATCATAATATCAAAACTTTTGGAAAAAAACTTGAATGGTCTCACTCATCATAATGGGGCTTTCTAGCATGATAAAATTTATTTGAATTGGATTCTCATATAATCGAGATATCAAAAAGCTATTTTGTTGATAGGACTAGTATAAACATTTATTGAGAATGTGTTTATCTTTCTTCAAAATCCAGAATCTTGCGAATGCAAAAACCTTGAAATGTGAACACCTCCTAATCTGGTTCAGGTCCGAAATATGTATATATTTTTCCAAATAATCTTGCTATGTGGTCTTTGATCATTCATTTTTATAGATTCAGATTACATTACAGAATTAGTGTTTCGATTGTAGTCATATGGGTCATATTTTAAATACTTAGACCTAAATATGATGGGGGTAAAGTAAAGAGATCTAAAGAATAATTAATATGCCCAAAAATGTGGTATATAGTATTACACATCAGAACTTTAAATACCATGTGGAATTATATGTTACATCTACAACACCTACTGCCAAACTTCAATCCTTCTCGGGAATGATAAATTGTTTGTTTACATCAACACGTGCTCATGTTTATGTTTTACAAGAGCTTCCGGTTCACAATTTTCCACAAAGTTTTCCGTAAAAATATAATGGATTTATATTCTGTATATGGTGGTGATACGTTATTCATTCTTCTTCCGGAGGAATCTTTACCTAATGATCGTGGATACTCTGCTCTTTTAATACGATCTATTAACTCATCTTCAGCGCTAAACGAACTTTCTTTTTGAAGATTATTTTCTAGAAGTGTTTCCTCCATCTTGAAAACCCACGTGACTATTGAACTTTGACCTATATCTAATGAATAGAATATATTCATCCGCAAGATAAATATAAATACGTTTTTGTGTTATAATCCATCGTTTTTTATACGACTCAGTACTGGAGTGATTTATTAATCATAATTCATATCTTTTTATTGGCTTTAAACAACATGAATCGCATTTATTTTTACTGAAATAATTTAATTTGGAACTATATTCTTACATCAGTGCGTATGTAGCGAGCACTTGTCAGTTTGCGCTTAGACTCCTGCATGATTTCCGTTCCTACCGCACACTACCCGCATCCTGCCTAGATTCGACCCTCTGGACGCACACCCTAGAGATTCTTACCTGCTAAACCCTTTCCAGATCCTTCCTGCAACTCACCAGGTATGTTAGCCTTTACTTTTAGCCTTTTAACCAACTTTTCCTTTAGGTTTTGGTTTATTTTTCCTCCCAATGCTGTGTTGCTGTAAAAACCTGTTTCCCTTATGAACCTGATTTCCTGAACTTGTACATGTTGTGAAGCACTAATATTTATTTCAGTAACTTACTGCATCTCAGAAACTAGAGTATATCTAGCAGGGATTACGTTAACATGTCAAGGATTGCCATTCATTTGTATGCTAATGAATACAAGAAAACTAAAATTGGATGTAATTGTATTGTAAGATCTTGGAAGCTGCTGAGGGAAAACATCTAGGAGATGATCATATTTCGGAACCCATCATTGGAAAACAGTTGGGAATTGTTGATTCTTAGAGAGAATATCAGTGCGTATATATATTTGAATTTTTATGTATAAAACTCTTATTTGTATGACTTATGTCGTTGGCTCTGGTAGTGTAATACTTTAGTATGGGCAATCTAAAGATACAGCAAAGTTTTATAGACATGTTTTATTTATTTTGCGTTATCTTTTACCTACATTGAAGGTCTTACATATATGAAGTTTGGTGCTGTGTTTCTATCATGAAACAAAGTGAGACATGTCACTATTATCACTGTGAAACACTTGTGAATGTTAGCAGACTTACTCACTTCGAGAGCCATGTTAGATTTTGAAACTTATGGCTCTCAAACGGAGAAGTGAACAGCTGATCAATAGTGACCTTTGAAACTGAATTAAGTCGATCCGCGGCTTACTTTTGGTCTCTAACTATGTCTTACATCAGTATCATCAATCCGTGTAAGTATTGGAGCGCTGGAGTACTTCTTTTTCGATCAAGACTTGTAAATTGTTCATCGAGTTAAAGTTTTACAGACCTATTTCCAATATGGCGGTTTGCTAGGTGCGAGATACGCAACGAACGAAATGAATTTTGAGAATTAGTTAGGTTCGGACAACCTCCGGAGATTTACGAAAATATCCGAGCAGAAACCGCCATATTGGAATTTGGCAGTAAAAGGATTCACTCGACTAACGAATTTCAAGTCTTGATCGAAAAAGAAGTACTCCAGCGCTCCAATACTTACAAGGATTGATGATACTGATGTAAGACACAGTTAGAGACCAAAAGTAAGCCGCGGATCGACTTAATTCAGTTTCAAAGGTCACGATCATTGAGCTGTCCAAATGCTCCGTGGGAAAGCTATTATATCAAAATCCAAATAGCTTTCGCAGGAAGTAATAGCAGACCATTTGTCACTTAACTTGTTAAAAGTCTTCTTTATTCGTAATAACTCCTTATCTAAAAACATTAATTTCAAAAAGATAAAAATTGGTCATAAGTTGAAATAATTATTTTTATGCAGTTTATATCTTTGAACTCTAGATTACTTCAGGGTGTTATTTTATAAAACACCAATTAGTTTAAAGAAAAGCAGACTCTGAACTTGAGGTCAGATGTTTGGTTCACACATGTGAGAAGTCCAACCTGCTTTCTTATCTTTGGTCTTGTTATATCAAATTTACCATATACATGTACATGCATAAATTGCTGGTGAATGAGATTTCTATTTCATTCCTTTGACCACATTTTCCTTCTATTCTATTAGAAATCTGAGATTTATAGACCCGAGATATATTTGCTCTAATGATACGCAAACAATATTTGGTGCCCTGGGCATTATTATGATTAGCAAAAAAACTATCTGAGTTTATGTTTAATTTCCTTAGTGGTTTTAACCAAGGAATGGGGTTACTTTTCTTGATTAATGTATATTGCTGTATTTCTCTGGTATTTCATGAAAGCCTACTCTTTGATAAACCAAGATTGAAATCATTAGAATTGTAGATGTGACAGCAGTTGATGAGTGTTGTTGGTCTGGATATAAAGCATGTTTAATAGGGTGCACAAAAGGAAACATTTTCTAGAATACTTTCCATAATGAGGAGGGGTTAAATAGAGCATTAACTATCAGACGTTTCAAGGGAAAGAATCAGTGATGGATTAAGAATGAGAAGTCGTACAAGGGCAGGAAGGATATTTTAAGTCGTGATTTAAGAATTTCTCAATAATGTTCTTGGTATTATGCTTCGCTGTTGAAGTGACTTAATGGTGATATATGTTTCATTTGTGAAATCAATATTACCTTTTTATTAAATGCCTAGACCTATATTATTAATGATACCTTTTGCGAAATCTTGAAATAGAACAAATAGGTGATCATTTATCTCTCTTAAGACTCGAGAATATAAAGATTTTAGTGTTCTTTCATCTAAATCGTTATCTCATATGTATATAAAAGGACCATTTTAGCTGTTATTACAATGTGATACCTTCAGTGACATTTATCAGGTGCCATGCGAATTAAGTTTTTGATATGATTGCATAAAATACTAGACAAAATTAATAAACAAGCTGTTCAAAAATGATAATTATATTACATAATATATCCAATTAGTACCTATGCCATAGCCTAGCAGTAATGACATTATAGCTAAGAACATGTCATTTTACTGCTACTTGAGAGTAAAACCATTTGGAAACATGAGATCATTTCATTTTCATTTGTTTTATTTGATCATCTCATTAATAAAAAATAACTGAGAGTTGTCTATTGGAGATCCTATGTGTAAATCAAGTATAATATGGATTTTCCGTCTAGTAAATGTTATTCCATCAAAATTGGACAGTGTATATTTGCCTTTGTGGGATTGCGTGTTTATTATTAGCTGGTTAAATATATATGTTATGATTGAATCTATAAAGTATATGTGTATATGGTTCAAGCCCTTTGCTATCTTATTTTGGTAGATATATTCCCTAATTGTAATATGTTAAATTTGATGACTGCTAGATTGCTCTTCTTCATTTGGTTTTATACTAAGTACTCTCCATTTTATTTTTACAAAACACAAGACCACTTTAAGGCTTTAAATATTTTTTCTAGGGTTGATGATTATCCCCATCTAATCTCATAATATACCATCAGTCTGAAATGAAGTCTCCCATCATTGATTTATTTCACTGCTAGAAATGATTCGCATTCATCTTTATGATTGCATTTCTACCAATATTCAACTCTACTAGCTTATACCACAGCTTCGGTAGATAAATTATAATTCTAGTAGGGTCAAATCTAAATCAGGGTTAATCAATATAGATATACTTCCTTGGGATTTGTCAACTAGTCATGTCTTGTTATAGCTTTGATAGATGAAATATTTGAGAAGTCTGCCTTTTATTGAACCCCCTCCCCATTTCACCACCTCTAACAAAGGTTCTTTCTCTGGGTAGGGAAATGCACTGGGGGAACAAGAAACCTGATAAAAGATAATTTTGTAATATGTTATGAGACAAAAATCTTGAGATTATAATATTAAGTATGTCTGTTTAAATCAGCATGTGTCAAATATAATATTATCAGTGACACATCCAAAGTCCAGCGTTGTTATCTTGTAGTGAAGAGATAAATATTATAGGTATATTAGGCTGATATAGTGCACGTTATGTTGGATGATCACTAGCTAATGATCACATCTACAAACTCAGAAATGGCTTTGAGTCACTTGACAAATATAAAGTCGGAGTCTTCTATTGATATATGGAACATTGCGTCTGCATTGTTGAAGTACTCAACATTGTGCCTGCATTTTGAAGTATTCGCTGTCTGGTATGGTTACATTCCATCAACATATCTTTGGTCAATTTTTAAAGTAAATATGTATGGATTGTCTCTCCTCCCATGATGTTACTTACTTAAACAGTATAGTTCTGTTATAAGTAGAAGGACTTATGTTGGGCTTGTCAGAATATTTTTATATATAAGAAGATCGAAGTTACATTAAAAAGGATTGTAATTATAAAAGAAATATCAAACCAAATCCCTTATAATTATATTCCATGAGAATGGTAGATTCAATTCATGCAATGGTCTTTGTTATATAAGTATATGCTGCAGTCTAAAATCATATTTTTATTCATTTTATTGATTAATATAATATCCTGTCATGCCATCAGAGAGTCTATAAAAGTTATAAATCAGTCATGCATCAAATTGCAATACTTATTATCCTATTTTCCAACCTTAATTTGAGAGAAAAAATAGGAGGTAGTCTTGTATATATACTTCTACCCTTTGCATCATTCAACTTCACTTAAAAGAGAACTAGACTTTGCGTACAGGGTAATATTCACCTCCTCTGCAGGAGGTGGAGTAGATAATGAAGGGGTGGGTCCAAAAGACTAAGGGGAAGGCTGCTAGAGCTATATGCTTGAGATCACTGATCAGGCAATCTTTAACTATCATGATTGGAAGTTTTCTGAACTTGTACCTTTTGAAGTCAAAGATAACCATGTCTTCATTTGACATATTCTTAGTTTATTTATATCAATTACATGACAGCATGGATCATATTCTACAAAATATTTAGGTCTTAGGTCTTCCCATCTTGGATTGCCAACGTATGAGGCTTCCATAGTTTGAAAAACTGTAGGCGAAGATTAGCTCTTCCCACATAACTTTGCAGTTATTTGAATATAAGGATATCATATTGTCTTGTGCTGTCTCCCTTTTCATCATATATAAGAACAGCTCAACCCTCTTTTAGCCTT